AAAACAAATCAAGGTTGAATGAAAACCCTGTCGGCGCACGTCCTGCTTTCCCAGCCGCTCGCGTGGCATCCACCGACATGCACGTTGTTTTTTCCCCCCAAAACCAATGCGTCGGTGTTCCGATTCCGGAGATGAGTGGCGCGGAAACAATCGATACTATGGGTGGCTGGAACATTGGCAAGGGAGCTTTGGTTTGCTGCCCGTCGAAGATTACACCCACACAGCAGAATGGGAAAAGGTCATCGTGACGTCTATTCTTCGAAACGTGAGTCAATCCTATGACTGTGAGATGATCCTACCTTTAGCTGGACCGTCGCACTTGCGGAGTAAAGAGCAATCATCTAGACGGTTTGAGGCCGCCTCTAGGTCTCTGCCGTTCTACCCGCTAGCTATGCGAAGCATACCTAGGTTGGTAGTCAAAACATGGGCCGATGCGACCTGCACCAATCTAGAGTGCGTCGACTCCTTTCAAAGATGTATGAGACAGAAGTCGGTTTGAACCACTTTAGTGGTGTATCATGAGCGGCCTGATGACTCCCGAGTGGCCGTACGATACCAGATTTAAAATGAGATGGTGAAATACTTCCAAAAAGATGCAAACGGGATGGTGAATTTTTACGGGCACGGGATGTCCCCCGCAAAGGCAAGGGGCACGGCCCGCAGTGCGGGTGGCGTTCAGACTCAGCTGGGATGATGGCTCGCAACAATACTCACAGCGCGTAAGTAGGCTGGCTGATGGTTGTCGACGACAGCACGATCTTCTTCTTCATTCTTGATGAAGAGATAGGACTACATCAGTCTCAAAAGCTGAACTTCTGAGTTGACGAGAAATGCTCGCATAAACTGCACAGGACGTGGCAGACCCCTGATAGCTTGGTCGGTCCTGAAGCGTAATAAATCTGCGGTGTCACAAAGGGCACTGTGTACTCCGTACATGGCCTCAAGTCGCGAAACGGAATGAGGTTATGTGTCTTATCATACGGCGCTTTCATGCTGCAGGCTTCGATGAAATACGACATCTGGGTTTAACGCATATTGGTCGCGCAGCAAACGTGTCGAGTCCAACGACATGAGAGACGCGAAAGATGCTGTCCTTTTTCTGTCTGATTGCGACACTATTTAATACTTAGGAAAGCTCTCTGTCTCGTCAGATCTAACCAAGGCTTAGAGGGAGCCTTCTGAAAGCGAAAATGTCTCTACCAGTGAAAGGTGATACGATGCTTGCTTTTTCGAGGGGATGATGGCCGGCCCACTGGTCGGCCCAGGTCTTTGGATTGGCTGTGGGGTGAAGAAGGGCTGCCCCTAGAGTGCTAGCGTACTCCGTACCAAAGTGCCATCTACTGATAGAAAGAAGACGTCGGTAGCAAAAGCAAGCATGGTCTCTCGAGGCTGCTTCATTGCTAAAGTACAAAGGAATATGCCATGGGGCTCGAAACTGATAGTACTTGATCGACTGTCTATTTTTCTGCCCTTTGTTTTACCAAGCCAAGAAAAGCAGACGACACGACGGCGACAGCCGGCGGCAGTCGTTCACTACTGCCCACCCTTCGAGACGAGACAGGTATCAAGCATCGCTATAGTCTGTCGAAGATGGTAGACATCCATCGCATCATCGGCCCAGGACGAATGCGTAGCATTCTTGCGGAAGACAAATGTACCTTGACTTGCCTGCCTGTGGGGAGCTGTGCCGGCGCCTTGACCTTGGCAAGGGGTCAATCGCGAGTGTCTGAGAACCAAAAAAAAAAGGAACGATAATGGGCTGCCCACCTGTGCCACTACAGGTGGCTGGACAGCTAACTTGAGTCGTCTAGGTCGTTGAAATAGAATATTCACCTTGGCGTATAAACAAGGGATGTCTACCCCGATCGCATTGTTTTCTGGTTTGTGCACCCAGTTTTCAGCATCTCGTCTGCTCGTTCCGTTACTTCTTATATATCTTACACCCGCGATCCAGTGTTAGTATTCAGCGCTGGGCTCCGTTTGCCGCGCTGCTCATCCCACAGCTTTCGATCTCATCATCTTTAGAATCAGTTGTGTTGCACAACAGCATCCATCTCTTCTTATTTTATTATTTGTTTGGTCCATATCGGCACTTGTACAAAGCCCAATTCAGCTCGGCGACGCGGATTTGACATCGCGCGTTTGTCGGCCATACTCATCTTCGCCTTCAAACTTCTTCTTCCCAGGCCTTTATTTTCTTCTCGAGTCGGACTGGGACTTATATCTCTAACATTAGTTTTCCATCTCATTTGGTTCGTGCGGCGTCGTGCGCCGTTCGTCTTCCCAACTCCTGGCCGTCGCGACTGCAGCCCGCTAAATAAGTGATACACTTGTTACACGGGTACGGCGCAAACCTTTGCAATATTGATATTGAGTGAAAAGAAACATTGATCTAGAGCTGGCGTTAAAAGCTGATCATCGTCAGTCAATTTGGTGGCAGGGAAGCCAGCTTCACTACCTGGGCAGGCGTTGAGCACTCATCCAAACGACCTGGCAGCTGCCACGACTGCCGATTCACTACCGCCGTGCAAACGATAGCGACAATCACCTCGTCGCTTCACGAGCTTTCGGCTAGCACTAGTCTGTCGCTCTCGTCCTTGCTGCTCTCCTTCTGCACTGCAGTCATTGCCTTTTAGTGCAAGCGAAGCCTTCATTGCTTTCCATCCCTAACGCCTGCCGCCTCAATACCGAGCGTCGCAACTACCTTGACACCGCCGCCCTTTCATCTTTAGGTAAGCCATCTCGCTTACAGTGATTCCTCTCTTCTTTTCTTCCTTGTCATCATCTTCTTCTCACATTCGTCTTCCTCTCTTCTCCATAGCATCACCAACATTGGCCGCAAATCAACTCTCTACGCCATTTCAGATTCCCATTCATCTTGCTTGATAGCTTCCTCCCTCTTATCCAATTCTGCAGTTACCTCTGCCACTTCCATTTGAGCATCTCCGGCTAAAACACGACTTTTCTGCCAATTTTCGGAAAAGGTGCCGTCCCAGACAGCTTCCACACCCCATGTCGTTTCAGCCTGTTCTGGCTGTCGTACACTCTTTGACTGCCGATTTCCTCCTTCTCAGCCTGTCTTTCGAAAGTTGATTTATGGCCAGCAGTGGTCATGCTTTTCTTTGCTTCTTCTTTTTTTGCTAACTGCTGGGTCTCAAACCAGATCTTCGCTGCATTTCGCGGCTGGCTGTTCGGTTATTAAGCCTTGTTACAAGTAAATCTGTTGCTTTCGAGGTAAGCTTCGCAGCTCTGCCCGCATGAGCAATTCCGGTCTCTCTACTTCTGCAAAATATGTTCCATTATTCCAATCCTTTTCAACTAACCATTCAACACTCTTTGTATGCTAACCTTTGTCTTTGTCTCTAGTGATCGCATGTCTTATTACCACCAGACGTTGCACGACACCGGAATGGACGGAAGCTCTGCAGTTGCTGCTTCGTATCTATCGACCCACGGACGTGGTGCTCACAATTCCCATATATCTGCTCACGGAGCTGATCCCAACACTTTGTTGAATCAATTTGCCAGCATGGGTCTCGGCGGCATGAACATGCCTGGCGGTGCTGGTCCTGTTCCCATGGGCCCTGGTCACGCCTTCATGATGGGTTCTGATGGACAGTTCGTTCTTGCACCGATGCACAATGTTGGTCAGCATCTCGGTATGGGGCACAGTGAGGCACACTACCAGGGCTTCTCGATGCCGCCTGGTGGCTATGCTGCACCATATGTGGGCGTTCCCCTTCCTCTCATGCCTTATACTCCTGGGCGTGCCAATGGCGGGCACCATCGCCTAGAACGAGGTCAATCAGATGTACCTGGCCTTGAAAACCGCCGCGGCTCGTACTCCACTACCGAGTCGACTCCCGCCACTCCGTTCTATGGCGCCGTCTCGCATCGCGACAACGGCCCACGGGTCGCGAGTCTTGACCGCTCTGCTTACACCACACCTTCACCCCAGCAAATTGGTCTCCCTCCTTTGCATAGTGATGCTCCCAAGGCAACTTTCTCTGCTGTCTCGGAAGCCGCCCTCGACGAACTACTCAAGAAGGAACCTGCTATTCCCAAGGCTGTACCTGCCGTTTTTACTCCAGCAAATCAGATGAAGTCTATCGAACAGAGCCTCGACAATAGAATCCCAGGCAACCGCAACGTATACATTCGTGGCCTACACCCGACCACTGACGACGAGCTGTTGTTTCACTTTGCATCTCGTTTTGGCGCCGTCGAAACTTCAAAAGCCATTATTGACACCGGCACCGGCGCTTGCAAAGGGTAGGTTCTTCACTGTCTCTGCCCAGCTTCTTCGGTCTAATGATTATCAGTTTTGGATTCGCAAAGTTCTTCACCTGCGAAGATTCCGAAATGTGCATTCGAGGCTTCCACAAGCTCGGATATGAAGTGGGATTTGCCAGGGTATGTTTGCCTTGAGCTGAAGATCGAGAAGTTGCTAACATGCCATTAGGAATCCTTCAACTCTCGCCTCAAGGCTGAAGGCGATGAAGCGTCTACCAATTTGTACATCTCCAATCTACCAAAGTCTCTGACCGAAGTGGTATGATGATTCTCAGCCGTCTGACTTGATCTGATTGCTAATTTCTGACAGGAGCTTGGAACTATCTTTCTTGGTTACACCATTCTTTCCAGCAAGATTCTACGAGACAGCATGGGTAACAGTCGTGGCGTTGGTTTCGCACGGTGAGTCTTTACTTCTTGACATGGTCTGTAGCTCCTGTGCTAACATCTTGACCTAGCTTTGAGACACGCGACGTCTGTGACGAAATTATTAGAAAGTTCAACGGCGTTGGTATTGGTGAAGAGGGTTTGTTGATGAATATTCGTTATGCCGACACACCATCCCAGAAAGAGCTCAAGCGAGTCACCGCTGAGCGCCGTCAATTCCGCACCAACGAATATAACATTGGTGCCTATGGTACCCCACTGGTTGGGTTGAACCCGACTCTATACAACCAACAGTCGCAGTGGCGCCGCTCCATTCCACTGTCTCGGAGGTAAGATATGGCTTTCATCGGCTCTCATCACTCTCTAACAATTTCCTTAGTGGATTGTCGGCTTCCTCGAGCGGCGACAGCAGTGCTATGAGACACTCGGGTGCCGCACGCGGCCCTTCCGAGTATGCATCTGGGCAGACTGTCTTGTCGTCTTTCTAACTTTTCTTTATAGGGCGGCTACAAGCTCAAGCGCGGACGCTGCTATCTCTACCCCCACTACTTCCGAGTTCGATGAGGGCACGACGATTCACGCCGATCCTGCCGCAGCCGCTGCTGTAAAGAAAGAGAACGTGCCAATTTCGCCTACCATCGTAAAGAAGGAGCCCGCTAATTGAGCAGATGACGAATTACTCTAATGTTGCAGTTGATTTCTTTGGAGTGCTGATGTGCACATGATATATTCCCTATACACGGATGTCTTGCTCCCAGGTAGTTGCATCACTTTATCTGCCGTTTTTGGTGACAGCTTTTACACGTGCCACGAGCACGCTATGTTCTATCATCAGATGTTTGATACGCTTGCTGGACTATGTTTATATTTTTTTTCTTGTCACGGCTGTTGATGTCCTGTATTTTAAGTACAAGAAAATTGGTGCAGTGCCGAAGCAATACATCTATCTCGGTCGCTGAATGAAAGTCTCGAAGATGGGATTTGTGAAGGTATCTGTAGTGGCGCTTGCGACTTCGACTTTGGTGTATTGTCATATCGATAGCATTGTCATACTTGTAACTCGGCAATGCTTTCGCTGACTTCCTCCGCCGCAATTTCTTCTACTCCGCCAATGACGACAGGGCCAGACTCTTCACCAGAGCCATCCTCATCAGTTTCGCTGTCGTCCTCTTCAGCATCGTCTTCGTCATCCGAGTTCTGGTCTCTTCTTGTCTCTTCTTTGTCTCTGATCGCCGCTTCTAAGTCTTTTAACATCTTTTTTGAAAATCCTGATGCCTCCACTGTTGCATCCAACCTTGTCTTGCCGCCCTTTCCAACCCGCTTTTTAGCATCCTTAAAGAATGGCCCTGGCTGCGTGCTCGTAAAGTGGAAGCGGCGCTGGAAAAATCTCTTGATACAGTTCACGTCGCGATCAAAATACATTTCAGCATTCTGATGCTCCATAGAAACCATTTGCGGAAAGTCAATGACAATTGGTTCCAAAATAACGGTCTCCTCGCCGGCTTCATTCGTCGTTCTATTTTCTTTGATCAAGATATTGAATTCATTAAAATCTCCATGGATAAGACCATGCGCAGCAAAGCGTAGAATGAGAGAAATCAACTCAGAATATAGCGCTGCAGGATTGGGTACTTCAGATATTTGTCGGAGAGGGTGTGCGTCGATTAGAGTCATGACGATGGTGTGGCGCGATTGGCCGAGTGGCTCCGGGACAGGAAAGCCTTCCTCGCGTAAAGCTTGCATGAATGCGTATTCCTTCATGGCAGCCAGCCTTGAAAGGTACATCCATGAGCCTGAAGATTTGTTTCTGAGGTAGTCGCGGTTCGATTTAACTGTTCGAAACGAGATCCGGCCAAGTCGGTGGATCTTGAGGACTTGCTGCGTGCCAGTGTGATCTGCGACAACCATAATGTCGCTTTCCTTGCCGACACCAATTCTACTGCCAACACTGTATACAATCTTTTTGCTCGAATGAGTATGAAGGGCGAGGTAGTCAAGACCACCATAGGTCAACCGGTACCCGTCGTATTTGGCTTCCTTGACTCGGGCGATGAGGCCGACTTTGGCGAGTGCAGATATGCTTTTATGGACACCACTTGCGCCACCTCGCAGCCGCGCGATTCGTTCGATAAGCGCTGTAGGAACAATTTCATGATTTTTACTACCCAGCTCGACCTGCCGACACATGATTAGCTCTCGAGAGTGCGCATGCGCAACTGAAAGCTACTTACAGCAGTGAGAACTCGCCAGTCTTCCGCCGCCAAGTGGCGCAGAGCTCTAGTGTCCAACTTCATGGCTTCTGGACAGTGTAGAGACAATATCGGATTTTCAAGCCGTAGCTTTGCCTTGCCTGGGTATGTGCTCACTGCGTAGACATCTTGGTGGGGTGAAAGAAATTTGGCGCCCAAAGAGGTTCCGAGCTTATCGATAGAGGGTTGATCGAGGCTTAACGGCTTATTCATCCACCACCATAGTACAGTGCCCACACGTGACTCCGGCGCTGGGGCGACCCAGCAGCCTGCTGTAGGCGGCAGCGCCTCGCGTAACCCAAAGCTCATACCCAGTTGTTACGCCAAGTTCAAGAGCTTTGCTGACAAGGCTCCGTAACCTTCCATCGCCCCCCGAATTGCCAACACCTGAACTCGCCCGAAAATTCCGCTTGCGCAGGGTGCCCTCAATTCCAATACTCCCATCTGCCGCAACTGTCCCGACGCTTTCCATCGCTAGACAGGTCGCCTTCCTCGAACTTTAGAACCAGAGCCCGCCACACTTAGATCGCCGTCAACATGGCTCAAGACGCCGATCTGCCGAAAGCGGCCGACAAAGGAAAGGGAAAGGCTGTCGATGACCCCAAGAATGAAAGCACCATTGTCAACGGCAAGAAGGCAGCCGACGAGAAGGCTGGTATGGTTTGCTTTACAACAATGCGCCGCGTACAATGATGCTAACGCAGATCCAGCCACTGCCGAGGAAGAGCTCAATGAAGAAGACCAGCAGCTCAAGGGTGAGCTCGACATGATGGTGGAACGATTGACTGTGCGCATCGAGCTCAATTCCTCCAGGTGCAAAGCGCATGCTGACCATTGCTAGGAAACAAACAAAGAACTCTACAAGACAGCGCTCGAGGCCATGAAGACTTCGATAAAGACTTCCACATCATCGATGACGGCTGTACCGAAGCCTCTCAAATTTCTAAGACCGCACTATGAAACGTTGACGAATCTGTATGAAGAGTGGCCCGCTGGCGACAACAAGACGTCTCTAGCCGATGTGCTGTCCGTCATCGGCATGACGTTTTCCGACGAGGACAGACAAGACACCCTCAAGTTTCGTCTACTCGCGCCGACATCCGACATTGGCTCCTGGGGCCACGAATACGTTCGCCACCTGGCGCTGGAAATCGGCGAGGTCTACGTCAAGCGCATCACCGCCGATGAGCCAACCAAGGATCTCCTTGACCTCGCGCTCACTCTTGTTCCTCTGTTTATCCAGAGCAACCAGGAAGCGGATGCAGTTGATCTCATGAGTGAACTCGAAATCATCGATCAGATCCCGAAACACGTCGACGAAAACACATACTCCCGAGTCTGTCTGTACATGGTCAGCATGGTCAACCTTCTCACATATCCCGACAACGAGCAGTTTCTGCGCACCGCCCACAAGATTTACCTCGAGTACAAGCAGTATGCCCGTGCCATGGTTCTGGCTATCCGACTTCACGATTACGATCTGATCCGCTCCGATTTTGTCAAGGCCGAGGACCCTGCCCTCAAGAAGCAGCTAGCTTTCCTCATCGCCCGCCAAAGAATAGCACTGGAGCTGCCCGGCGATGAGGATGAGGAACTTAATAACTGCTTATCGAATCTGAAGCTTGCCGAGTACTTTAAATCACTGGCTAAGGAGCTCAACATTCTTGAGCCCAAGACAACAGAAGACATCTATAAGAGTCACCTCGAAAGCAGTCGCGTTGCTGGCATGACCAACCTCGACTCTGCCAGGCACAACTTGGCTGCCGCCTTTGTCAATGCCTTTGTCAATGCAGGCTTTGGTAATGACAAGATGATGCTCGTTGAGGGTGAGAAAGAGACCTGGGTTTGGAAGACCAAGGGCGATGGAATGATGTCAACGGTGGCTTCTATGGGCACTCTCCTCATGTGGGATATTGAGAATGGTCTCGACAAGATTGACCGTTATACGTACTCCAGCGAGAATGAAATATCGGCGGGAGCCATGCTTGCTATTGGTATTATGAATTCTGGAGTTCGTGTGGAGTCGGAGCCTGCCCTGGCGCTGCTGGCTGATGCCGAGAAGCTTCAAGGGCCCAACCCTCTGGTTCGCACAGCTTGCATCATGGGACTCGGATTGTCTTACGCAGGCTCGAATAAAGAGGAACTATTGGAGCTTCTCTTACCCATCATCAGCGATTCTTCGCAGGACATGCAAATTTCTGCCATGGCTGCTTTGGCATGCGGTATGGTCTTTGTTGGGTCTTCTCACCCTGAAGTCAGCGAAGCTATAGTGACCACTCTGATGGACGATGACCGCAAGAACCAGTTGACTGATAAGTGGACTCGCTTCCTGGCCCTGGGTCTTGGTCTGCTGTTCTTCGGGCGTCAGGAGGAGGTTGACGTGATTCTTGAGACTCTCAAGGCTGTTGAGCATCCTATGGCCAAGCCCACTGCTGTGCTAGCCGAGATTTGCGCCTGGGCTGGTACTGGTGCCGTGCTCAAGATCCAGGAGCTGCTGCACATCTGCAACGAGCACAAGGAGGAGTCCGACGATAAGAAAGGCGATGAGCTTCTCCAGGCTTACGCTGTAATTGGTATCGCTCTCGTTGCCATGGGCGAGGATGTAGGTCAAGAGATGGTTTTGCGCCAGTTTGGTCACCTTATGCACTATGGTGAGGCCAACATCCGCAAGGCCGTCCCTCTGGCCATGGGTCTCATCAGTCCCAGCAACCCCCAGATGAAGGTATACGACACTCTGTCACGATACAGCCACGACACCGACCCCGAAGTCGCCATCAACGCCATTTTCGCCATGGGCATGCTCGGTGCCGGCACCAACAACGCTCGTCTGGCACAGCTCCTCCGCCAGCTGGCCAGCTACTATCACCGTGACCAGGACGCCCTCTTCATGGTCCGCATTGCGCAGGGCCTCCTGCACATGGGCAAGGGCACCATGTCCATCAACCCCTTCCACACTGACCGCCAGGTGCTGTCCCGCGTCGCCGCCGCCGGTCTGCTCTCCACCATGGTGGCCATGATTGACCCCAAGGAGTTTATCACATCCAACTCGCACTACCTGCTGTACTTTCTCGTCACTGCCATGCACCCGCGCTTCTTAGTGACGCTCGACGAGGATCTCCAGCCCCTCAAGGTCAACGTGCGCGTTGGCCAGGCCGTCGACGTGGTTGGTCAGGCCGGCCGCCCCAAGACGATTACCGGCTGGCAGACGCAGAGCACACCAGTCCTTTTGGCGTACGGTGAGAGAGCAGAGCTCGAGGATGAGCAGTACATTAGTTTGAACAGCACACTCGAAGGCTTGGTGATTTTGCGCAAGGTAAGATGTTTTCCACCTGTGCTCGCTGTGGCAATGACGCTAACTTGTCTGAATAGAACCCGGACTGGGAAGAGGAGCAATAAACAGACGATAATGAATTAGCACAGAGTGTAGTTGATGCACATGGACCCACGCAGATTAGGACGTCGTTTTGAGAGTCATGTTTTTCATCATCTTGACTCGTATGGATAGGGAGAAGAGGTGTCAACAACTCAGTGTATAGTAATCCCTCACTACCGTGTCGTCTGTGTCATTTCTTTCACCTCATTAAAGAAGAAGGAGCAGATACAACGACAGAAGAAAAGACATATACAAAATTCAAAGTATTCTATTCCGAAGCGAAAGCATGTGTTTTATGTTTGTGAAAGGTGTTACTCTATTTCAAAAAATGCGTATATGATGTGTAATTTCTGCAAGATGAAATCTAAATGCAACCCAACAACTCCGGTGTTAATGCATGCAATGCGAACTTAGATGTGGTGGACATGTGAGGCGTCAGCGCTCAGAGGCTGACGCTCTCACCACTCGGGCGGTCCAAAATGGCCCCCGTCTGGCACGGTTTTGTACGAGCAGGCCTGCCAGTCGCAGCCCTGTTTGTAGACTTCCGTGCCCCACCAGTGAAAGTTGGCCATCCAGCCTGGGTAGATGAAGCCGAAGAAGACGACGACGATGCCAAAGGCGAGGCCGGAGTCGAGGGCGGCGCTGAGCGTCATGGTGTACTTGGCCCACCAAGGGCCCGCGCGGCGCTTGATGACGTAGTTGAAGACGTAGCAGACGAGGGCCCAGACGGAAAAGTTAAGGCCAGTGGCGGGAGGGATCCAGGCCATAGCGCCAAAGATGACGGGGAGGTTGACCTTGCGGAGGATGCTGCCGCGGCGGCGGCGGCTGTAGAGCCAGAGCGGGATGGGCAGCAGCGCGCCCAGCGGGAAGCACCAGACGAGGGCGCGGTAGATGGCGCCGGGGCCGAAGAACTCGCCGGGGCCGACAACGCCCCAGAGAATGGAGCCGTTGAAGTGGACGCGCGCAATGGGGCAGGTGAAGCCGTTGACGGCCTCGGCGGTGCAGATGCCACGGACATTAACAAACATCCAGTTAAGAACACCGATCTGCGTGACCGACGAAACAAAAGTAGCGACGACTTGTACTATGAACATGATGCGAGGCGGAATTTTCATGTAGTGGCCGAGCTTGAGGTCGGCGGCGAACTTGATGCCCTGCGCGGAGGAGATGTAGCCGTACGTGACAAAAACCATGTTGGCTATGGGGCGACCCGGGAAGACGACACCGCAGATGAGTTGACAGATGAGGTAGATGCTGCTGTGCTGGTTGGTGACGGCCATGATGATGCCGTTAGGGATGAAGAAGATGGCGCCAATGGCGAGAGCCAGCAACAGTCCGTACCAGGGTAAATGGATGGGGTAGTATTCGACAATGAAGATGCCGACGGCCGTCATGGAGAGGAACGTAAGAACGTACCAGCTTAGAGGCGCGTCTTTGTAGCGCTTCATGAGCCGACTGTGGATGTCTTCTCGGCTAAGGAGGTCATCATAGCCAGAGTGCGTGGAACGATCGCCATGACTCTCACGGCGTGACAGGGTATCTGGTTCTGCGTCACCGTCTTCGGTCGGCGCGCCCGAGAGGGGCTCATAAGCGGCCTTGTTTTCCTCACGGGCTTCAGCGAGGGCTCGTTTCCATGTATGCCAGATGTCACGGCCATGCCAGCACATGGTATGAGTGAGAAGCGCCGCAAGACCGGCAAACTGTACACCATAACTCAGCATATAAGTAACGGGCAAAAAGACTCGGCTGTAATTGCGATAGGCTTCGCGGTCGAACAAGAAGTCGGATGTAAGAATCCTGCTGACGTCGTAGACTTTGCCCTTGTTGTCGAAAACAGCGGTAGAGAGAATCGGCATGTATGACGAGTATAAAACATTAGCATAGTAGCAAAGAGGTGCGATAAACCACATGACAACCACGAGGCCGGCGACTACGTTGACGGCCGCCCAGAACGGCACAAGAAGAGGAGAGCCGACGTATGTGATTTGAGCCCAGTCAAAAGTCATGGGAAATAGACCAAGGCCAGAGGTAACGCCAAAGAGGTTCGCAATGACGACGTTTTTGGGTGCGAACCAAGTAATCACACTAAAGTAACTGAGGGCTGGCATCAGCAGCCCTGGTAGGAAGTAAAACACAAAGGCGCCTATCCAGACAATATAGAAGAAATTCCAGCGACTGATTGTCCAGCCATTGGCGGGCTTATTTTCTTGCTTGTGAAGAGTCGAGAACATGGCGGCAGACATCAACGTTCCCGGCCAGATCATGCCACTCGGACGGACGAGAAACCGGCGGGCCATACCTGCGAAGCCGTAGCCGAGGATTTGAGTCGAAATAGTAAGCAGGAGCTGGTAAGCAATTGGCGCAGACTGGTTATAGAATTTCGTCTGCTCGACAATGACATCGGTAGCGAAGGCGAAGCCAAAGGCGACATTGCTGCTCACGTAAACGCAGGTGTGTTCCTTTTCATTCCAGCGGCCCTGCGCGAACCATTGCCGCCATGAGCGAAGAGTCTTTGTTCGTCTCGCCGGCGGCTCATTCTCGTCGGGGACAGCTGAGCATCGTACGCCATCAACGAATGTTTCTTCAGGATCATAAGATCGCTTGAGAGCCACATCCCAGAACAATCCAAGGGGGTGCACCAGTAGCAGCGCAATAACGGGCGTGATGGCGACACTAGGGTATCTCAGAGAAAAGAACAAATTGGTGGATGAGCCCAAGATTGAGAAGATGACAGACAGGCACCACATTCGCGGGGTATTTATGGACAAGGTGGTATCGTCAGTGGGAGGTACAGAGGCTCGAACGGCTTCATGTGGAGAGTTTTCGTCTTCTTCGTCAATGGTCGACGTGTCGTCCTGGACAGAGAAGGCTTCTTCTTCATCGATATCCTCGTCAGGCTTCCCGTTGCTGAATGTATCGACGAGCGGTGTCTCGGCGAGACCGAAACGGCCTTCAACTCCGGAGACGAGGATGGCGCCGTCGAGGTCCTCGGAGACCCTGGAGGATGACCGTGAAATAGCCGATCGTTGGCTTCGGCTCGTGTCGCGAGCATAGCTGGGGCGGGGTCTGTATTCTTCGGAGTCGGCTTCAGATGGTGACTGGCTTTGGTACGGAGAGAGGCTCACGGCGCCATAGGTCGTGGTGTCCTGGCGCGAAGACGGCCGCCTGTCGAGGCGAAAAGACTTCTTCTTTTTGACCATGTCAAAGTCGGTGAGCTCAAGCTCAGACCCGGAATCTGGGTCAGCTGCGGCTATTGACTCTGCAGGCCAAATGTTGCGAGCATGTTGCGAAGGGGAGTTTAGAGCATCGACGTGTTCTCTAAGAGGCGACGACGAAGGTCCCGGTTGGTGTCGGCACGGTGGCGGCTGGTGGGATGATGCGACGGTGGGCTGGTGTGGCAATGCAGCTGTCGCGGTCGCCAGGGTATCAAGGGCAGCGCTTTTATCAAGGCTGGCGTTACGCCGATCCTGAATAGCCGTGGAGTGCTTTTGCGAAACAAGGGCTATAGGTGGTGTGGTTGCGCTGGCGAGCGTGGTTTCGGGATTGTCTCTGGCCGGCGGCGGCGAACGGCGAGCGTCCTTCATGGCGGGCCAGCCGAAGAGTCGGAGGGGGGCTTCCCACCGCTAGTTAACCTCACGACTGACTGGATGGGAGACGACCGGAACTAAAGAAACTAGTTCGCTAGTTAGCTGGCGGGCCTTGGAAGGAGAAAATTGGCGTCCGACTGCAAGGGATAGTTCAGCTCTAGCTGGTCTATGTCGCCTTGGGCATCAGCTGCAGAAATGGGACCCGTATGATGCCCGTCACCGCGCGGTAGCCTGGGAATTTCAAAGAGTCTCCCTGCGACGAGCCAATGGGTAACCATCAACGGTCCACAGAAGCGTGGATTGACGAGGAGATGGTGGGATGTTGTGAATGCTAGCCTCAGTGGGCCGGTGTTTGAGTGGGTTGGAAACCTGGAATGCCAGGGCGGTTGGGAGCCAAGGGAAGGGTTGAGGGACAGGGAGGGATGTTGTATCGAGTCAGATGTGATATCAAAGACTTGACAATGCGTCGACAAAGATAAAACTGTCGAGGCTGGCTGTGTTGTTAGTGCAAAAAGAAGACGTTGCAGGAAATTTGATAAATGACTGCCGAGAGGACGCGAGTCAACCTGCAGCAGCCGGGAGCAGGGTCGCGTGGCGTATGCAGCTCAGGCAGGCGGACGACAGGGTCTCGAGATAGTTCTCGCCAAGACGGCGCAGCAAATCTAGCAACCGAAGGAATGACTCTATCGAAATCGATTGACGAGATGTGACGACGTTGTGCAGCGGGATGCTTGCTAGCGCTGTTAACTGTACTTCGTATACGCACAGCCTGTGGCTGCTGGGCATCGAAAGTGGTCAGGCAAACCAGGCGAATGACGGATATGCGGAGCTCGCTCGGAATATCGGTGCAAAATAAGGCTAATCAGGCTGCAGTGTCTAAGTCGTCATGTGCCGAGCTGTCGTTTGGATCGTTGATGATGAAGATGAGCAAACGGCTGATAAGGCGCAGGACGAGCAGATGGCTGATGGCCGGAAGCAGTGCAGACGCTGACGAAATGGGGTACAGCGCTGCAAGCCACGCAGAAACTCTGCTCATTAGGTATGCAAGGGACGGCTCGCGGCATCAAAACCTACGATTCAATGCTACTAAATAATGTGGTACATCCAGCTCCCGGAAGAATGGTGCAATATGATAAAGGGTCTTATTAACCGTGACAGCCGTATTGTCATTTCTACGCTACGTAATCCAGCCAACAGTCAGTTATAATTAGTCGGCAATCGCACATGGCCAACCGAAAGAAATACTATGTTTCTTGAAAATAGTTAGAGGCGACCAGTGACGATCTTGACCAGTCTACGGAGTACTACTTCCGAAAAGGGAATATTCTGTAAGTATAACGTGAGCCTGACCGGATACCTGGTTTACCTTGGCGCATGTATATGAGACAATGACGATGATAGCAGATGCAAGACGACCCAGAGTACTCCGTAATTTGTGCGGATAGGAAGTGGACATTTCGCAAAACTTGCACCCCTATTTCCTTGAATTATTCCATCGATTTCATGAGACTATCCGGCCACCGCTTTGTTTGTAAAACGTTACATTGAACAGATATCCGTCAACGTGAGACATTAGTTAGACTGTTAGGAGCGTACTTGGACAAGGGTCTCAACTGGGTGACATTTGGTCCAGCCCAAAGTCTGACGAATCAGGGAAGGCGTATTAGACATCACTTCTTAGCACCTATTTTAATCTGCAACCTTAAAAAGAATGGTTGGCGATTCCTGACTGCTGTTTTAGTTGACTCTTTTTGGTTGGGTTGATCGGGCCCTAATACTGTTGTGACTCTTTGCTCTGGCGAGGCGCTCAAAGAGCGCTGAACGGGCGCTAAAACCGTATACCACCACGAGCCACTGTATTTAGAACTGATTCAATGATTCACCTAGAAAATCTGCTTACCGATTAGGTAGTTGTTCAAAAATATTCATCAGGCCTAATTCGCTTCAATCAAGGTGTGGATCCCATCTATACAGCGACTATTTCCGGCCAGCATCGAAATTGATTAGTGGCCGAAGCCGCACCACTCCGTCGCTACTAACGGGCGCCATGGGCTTTGCTTGCCTTGCTGCTCTTAAAATTCACCAGCAATCATCATGGCGACACCAGTCGCTGCGGCAAAACAGCAGCTGAGAACATTGATCAAGAAGCGTCTCGCTAGCCTCTCGCAAGATGCTGTTCAAGCTCAAAGTAAGAAGACACAGCTGGCATTGCTTCGTAAGCCATGTTAATAAAGCAACTTAATCGATAGGTCATGCCGTCTTTGACACCCTGCAGGCTTCAAAGCAATACAGAGAAGCCAAACGCATAAGCATCTACCTTGCCATGCCAGCAGCAGAAGTTCAAACCGATGCCATTGTTCGCCACGCTCTCAATGCTGGCAAACAAGTCTTTGTGCCTTACCTTCACAGGTCAACGTTGTCCGAGCCCGGCACACCTGCTCGCATCATGGACATGGTGCAACTACGCAGCATTCAGGATTACGAGTCTCTAGGCCGCGATCGATGGGGCATTCCCAGCATCGATGATGCCGCCGTTGCTGGTCGTGAGCGAATATTGGGCGACTCACCCGGCAAATTTGGCCCCTCCCCGGCTACCCTGGATTTGATGCTGGTTCCGGGCGTCGCCTTTGACTCAGATGCTGAGGTTGGGGCTGGTATACGGCGCCTGGGGCATGGAAAAGGATTCTACGACTTCTTCTTGAACCGATACTTTGCTAGAGTCGCTGAGCATGGCGGCCATGGCGAGTCGTTGCGCCTCATTGGCTTGGCTTTGACGGAGCAGTGGCTAGAGCCTGGAGATGGACAAGTCCCGATGGGTATGTTTGATAGACGATTGCATAGCTTAATTCTTGGCAGTGGCGAAACAAAGACATAGGAAGCCTAAAATAAATTTTAGGATATTTCACATGTAATCAGAGCCGAATTGTGCTTGCCATGTTCTCTGTCAAAACATGCCTGGATGACACTGGTTGGAAATCTATCCCCACCCCCACCTATCAGTCAGTCCCATCAGCGATACATAGCGCCATCAGCACCTGAATATGGTTATGGCAGAAAAAATGCAAGTGTAACAACTTTTCAGTCGACAAACGCATAATCGTCCTGCTTGGCTTTTCTAAACCTTCTGCCGTTCTCGTGGCCAGTTGCGCTCTTCGTATGACGTCGACCGGAGCGGAAAAACTCGCCACCTGCAACTGCGATTGCCCCGCCAAAGGCCATGAACCCCATGTCATATTATTGCCAGACTTCAAGGTCGAGGTGGGCTTTCTGCTTTTTATCACTCTGGCCTGTAAACAGACATCACAACACCAAGATTTATTACCTCTCGAGGCCGACTTCTGTCACCTGATCTTTGCAAGACGACGACCAGCTCTGTCGCATCCATTCCCTTTGTTTCTGCTCAGCTCCTACTAGCCCCCCGCTGCTCTTGTTTTCTGTACCACTTCCAGCAAAGTCGACTTGCGGTACCTCACCACCACACTTCTATGCGCCGCTGCCCCTAATCTGATACAAAGTCTCGATCCCAAGCTGCCGAGCCAGGTTCAGCCTTCTTACAAGCTTCGACTTACGGACCTCCACAACCATGGCTGCCAACGGAGCGCAGGACAGCTTCTCGCTGTCCGACGTCTTGGCTGCCGTCATGACGATGCGGAGCGGGGAGCAGGACGCAAAGAAAAAGGCACATGCCTACCTAGAGAGCTTTCAAAAATCTGTTGGTTCCTGACTGCTCGTTTAATGGCCTGTCACACATTCTAACCATCTTAGAAAACCTCTTGGGGTACCATTATTGGCATCTTGCAGTCAAAGGCTGAACCAGAAGCAACACTGTTTGCCGCCATCACACTCCGCGGAAAGGTATTTCCCGCCTCCTCCATGTGATACGATCAGATCAGATGGCTCACAAGTCGCAGATCACTTATGACCTCGCTACTCAAGTCCCCACGACCGAACTTCCCGCTTTGCGAAACCAGATTCTTATGCTGCTCAAGGAGTTTGCCGTTGGACCGAAACCCATCCGCGTGCAGCTCTGCGTTTGCCTCGCAATACTGGCCATCCAGATGAAGGATTGGAACGACGTCTTGCCCTCTGTGGTTCAGTCCCTTAGCGATAGCCCCGAGAGCCACGCCTGCATCCTCGACTTTCTGCGCGTGCTCCCCGAAGAAGTCACCGAGGGCCGGAAAATTACCTTGTCTGTATGTGGATACTGCGACTCGACGACAACCGACTCCGACTTCCTTCAATCGGCCAGATGCCGTTCGTTCTCAACGTGAAGTCTAATTAATGTGTGGGATACAGGAAGATGATCTTGCGGACCGCTCAAAGGTGTTACTGGCGGACAATACAGACAGAGTTGTGCAACTGCTAATCAATTACTCACAATCTTCGCGTTCGTATTGCCCAAGTCGCAGCCAATTTGAACATTACTGACCTTCATTTTAGCGGCTGCTGCTCGTAACCCGCAACTCATGGAATGCATCACATCGTGGCTTAGAGAAGTGCCTGTCGGCAGCATCGCCAATTCTCCACTGCTTGATGTTGTCTTCAATGGTGTCACTGCAGACGAATGCAGCCAAGAAGCATCCGAGTGTCTCTGCGTCATGATACGAGAAACGCGCGACGTGGACGAAAGTCAAGAAACTATTCAGATCCTTTTCCCTCGCATCGTCAACCTGCAGCCTCGCATCGCTACAGTGGTGGAGGAAGAAGACACGGAGGCGCTGAAAGCGCTGACAAAAGTATTTGCCACCGCCGCAGAATGCTGGGCTGTTGCCATTGCCCGCCAGCCTTCCCACTTCAGACTGTTGGTTGAGGCTGTACTCGAGTGTGCTGCTCGAGACAAAGACCAAGATGTCATCGAGTACACATTTCCTTTCTGGTACGAGCTGAAGCAGTATCTTGTGCTTGAACGTTACATTCAGAGCCGATTAGAATTGGTCGACGTCTATTCTAAACTTGTTGACATCCTGCTGAAGCACCTTCAATTCCCTCGACCGGACTCTGGAAATGAAGGCGATCTCTTTGATGGTGACCGCGAACAAGAGGAAAAGTTTAGAGAGTTCCGTCATCAAATGGGAGACACACTCAAAGACTCTTGCGAAGTCATGGGCGTCACAGAATGCTTGACCAAGGTGCTCAGTGCTATCCAAGTCTGGATGCAGAACCACGCCAGTCAAGTCAATGACACCAATGTGCCTAACTGGCAAGAGCTCGAGGCTCCGTTGTTTGCAATGCGGGCTCTCGGACGGATAGTGGATCGAGATGAGGAGATTGTTCTTCCGCAGCTTATGCCGCTGCTGGTTCAAATTCCCAACCACGAGAAGCTCAAGTTTGCCACCATCATGGTGCTTGGTCGTTACACCGAGTGGACGGCTGCTCACCCAGAATACCTGGAGCCGCAGTTCAACTACATTGTCAACGCCTTTCAGGCCGACTCCAAGGAGATTGTTCGAGCTGCTGCGTTGGCCATCAAGTTCTTTTGCACCGACTGTAGAGACCTGCTAAGCGGGCAGGTTCTGCAGCTTCAGACGTTCTATGACCAAGTTCTTGACAAACTGCCAAACCAGAGCAAGGAGGAAGTGACAGATGGTGTGTCCAGTGTGGTTGCTGTGCAACCTGCTGATCAGACATACACGTTGCTCAAGATGTACTGTGACCCTCTCATCCAGCGCTTGATGACCATGGCAAACCAGGCAACTGATAAAGAAAGCAAAATTGCTTTGGCTGGTACGTTGCCTTTTCCAACAAGCCACTCGATTTTTGCTGACACGTAGCAGAGCATCTCCAACTCATCACCGTATTTGTCCAAAATGTCACGCCTGCAGTGAATCCCGGCGATGTCAACCCGGCTGTCAAGTACTGGCAAGAAGTCTTTTCTATCCTCTCGACAGTCCTCGAAAACTTTCTGGACTTTACTCCCATCTGCGAGAGGATATGCCGCTGTTGGAGGAATATGATTGTGTCGTACCGCACGGCAATGGCGCCTCTACTGCCCGAAATGGCCAACAAGCTGGCCAGCGGCTTCACGACGTCTCGTGAGGGATGCTTCTTGTGGGTGACTGGCACCATTCTGCGCGAATTCTCCGAGGACCGCGACAACGTGGATCAGACAACGACAGAAAACATATACAGCTTTTTTGAGGCACAAGCCACCGCGTTCCTTCGTGTCATGACAGAACTTCAACCTACAGACTTGCCAGACGCCATTGACGACTTTTTCCGTCTCATGATTGATGCTCTACTTTATTACCCCCAGAAGCTCATCCCTTCCACACTGCTAGTTCCAATCTTTGAAGCAGCCATCTATGCGCTGACGCTTGAGCAGCGTGATCCGCTCGTCTCAACGTTGCACTTTCTTCGCGATCTGTTGTCGTACGGCGGCAACAACCCGGCTAGCAGCGAAGGGCTCCCAGAAGCTGCGGCACAACAGATTAAGGGCATGATCCTCAATATGCTGCAAAGCCATGGATTGGGTCTGGTCAAACAGGTCATGGCTGGCATGATGCTTACTTTCCCACGAGACTGCTTTGCTGATGGCAGTGGTGTTCTCTTGGCTCTTTTCGAGATGATTCCCGCACAAACCGCCGAATGGGTTGCGCAGACAGTTCAGTTGTTGCCCGAGGGTACTGTGAACCCGGTCGAGGCCAACAGACTGATGACCAAGATCAAAGAGCGACTTTCGACGGATGACGCCAGCAACCTCCGACATGTGCGTGTTCTGTTGCAAGATTTCACAAACTCGTACAGACGACGAAACGTGGCACCCAGAGATGGTCTAGGACAACTGGAAGCTAGGCGATTCCAGTTCTCGGGCTGATTTTGCTCCGCAGGCTGATAGATGAATTCAATGAGAGGAGTTGACTGATGGCACGTATACCGTTGGCGGGAGAGGAGAAATAATTGGCATTTACAGGAGCGCGGTAGTTTATACCAAGGAAGTAAAACGGAATGGATTTGGAGCAAATGATTCAATTGTGATATAGCATCTAGAGTGAGTACATTTGCGAGAAGAAAAGCAAAACGACAGGCGACCAATGACATGTTTATTCATGGGATAGCGAGCTGGAAGCCTGTAGAGGAAGAATACATATTTACATGGAGGATTGTCCTGACATGTTTAGCCCCAGCATTTTCATAATCACCAGCCGATGATCGGACACCGAATGCCGCTTCTGATGGCTTGTATACAGACCGCGCTATGAGCTAGAACTGAAGCAGAAAGTTTCCGAGACAGAGTCGATTAGTGCTACTATAACGGGAAAATTTCCAAGACCGTTTTGAAAATAGAAAGGCTGGTGGGCTAACTAACCTGCCACGCCTGCTAACAATTCCTTTGATGGGGACGCATAGAGATCCATAATAACCGACGTCAGACCCGCGCCGTAACACAACGAGGGTGAGACTTTGGAAAATAATAAATGGGTAACGTGTGAAAGTGTAGAGATGTAGCTTCCGCCTCTACCATTGAACACAGCTTTCCAGAGATCAATAAGCTGACAGCACCAGCAGACCGCCATGGGAAGCCACGCGACAACCACGGCAGCCACCGGCGCCGGCATCGCCCTCGTCCCGTGGGACCCTGCCAGCGACAGCCACGCTGACCGGATGACGACGCAGCGGCACGCGTGCGGCTGGGACGTCGACAAGGTATCGTACTGGCGAGAAAGGGTGACAGCCGGCGATAAGCTCCTCTTTTGGGTCGTGCTGTCGTCTGGGGACGGCAACGACGCGGCAGAGGTGCTGCTCGCCAAGCACACGTCCGAGTGTGCGGCCGAGAGGGGTCCGCTGCAGGACACGGCAGCGCGGGTGGGCAGGGCGGCGAGGAAAGCAACGGGCGATGCGTTCATCCCGATTGGACACATTGCGCTTGACGAGTATCCGGCGCGGAACGTGCTGTTTGGGTTGCCGCCGGCGACGTTGTGGATCAAGTCATTTTACATTTCCAAGTACGTTGCGTGTGAATTTAGGGGGACGCGAAACATGAATGGCAATGGAAATCATGGCTAATGATGGGAAAATTACGGGGGAACAGGGCAATTCGGTCGGGTGGTCTGGGGCGGAAAGCGATGGCGCAGGTCGAGGCCATGGCCGCCGCGCCGCCGTTTTGCAGCGCGGCGCTGGCGCTCGACACGACGAGTTCGGAGTGGCAGCGGCGCGCGACGAGCCAGAGACTCTACGGAACGGACGAGCCGCCGGCAGAGGCGCCGCCGGTTCAGACCAATCAGGCGTGGTACGCGCGGCAGGATTACAGGGACATGGCGCTGCCGGAGAAGGAGGAGGCATGCGCGAGGATGGAGGGGAGGAAGTCGCTGGGATACTATGCGGAGACGGACCCGGCGACGGGAATATCTATTGAGGTTCCGACGGTGTACATGTACAAGGTGATTGAGAGATGATGAGCTGAGGCTCTAGAAAGCTAGAAATTAGATATGGAGAGAACCGAGGAAGAAGAGAACAGGACACAAGAGAGCAAAGGAAGAATCGAGTATATGAAACGATGAAGATTAGAGGAACAAGAGAACAAAAAATATGTGGACATTTACCCCAAAGTCTGGAGACTGCCAAGACTAATTGAAATATAAGGAATCTGAACCAACCAACCAATAGTGGGCGTTGTCACAAAGAGAATTTGAAAGAGCAAGGAAGACATCAGCAACATGTTTGGCGTCTGGAGACTTCATCTTCAGCCTTGGCTCTTTTTGCTCGAGCTTACAAGTTTATTTTGGCAGCTTACAATGATAAAGACGAAAGAATGCTGGTTACAGTCTGACCAAAAGAAGCAGTTGGTGGGTCGAAATTGACAACTTTACGCCCTTTGGCCCGTAGCCCATAACCGTCAACAGCCGCGATCGGCAATCTTGCCATTATTTATGATTAAGGTTTGTTTCTAACCGTGAGTCACTACTTTTACATAAAAAACGGCAACGCATGCCGTTTGAAAGTGGTATAGTCGAAAAAACAACTAGCTACGGCATCGAGTTTGAATATGTCTTCAACGACGACCACGTCTATCCAGCTGACCGACAATGTCGGCTGGGCTTCTAGCCGGCCCAACGCCGCCGTCGGCACCACCAGCCGTACGAGATCCTCCGCCGCCGCCGCCGGCCGCACCGCGGAGGAAGAGGAAGAAATACTCGCCGCATCGCGCGCGGCCGACTCGGACGCGCCCGACGGCGGCTACGGCTGGGCAATTGTCGCGAGCGGCTGCGTGCTCATGTGGTGGGGTGTCGGCACGACCTACGCCTGGGGCGTGATTCAGCGCACGCTGGTCCGCGACGGGCTCGCGGGCCCGGCCGTCGTGTCCTTTATCGGCTCGCTGCAGGCGGCCATGGTGTCGCTGTGCGCGACGGCCAATGCCTGGCTGCTGCAGCGTCTTGGCCCGCGGCGGACGGCGCTGACGGGCGTGGCGCTGATGGGCGGGTGTGAGATTCTGAGCAGCTTCACGACGCGTAACCTGGGAGGTCTGTTTGTGACGTCCGGGGTCATGTTTGGGCTCGGAGCCAGGTATGAGTTTCTTTGCTAATATCTTTAAAAAAAAAAGAAAGAAAAAAAAAAGGAACTGACATTGTTTCTAAACAGCTTCATCTTTTGTGTAAGTGGTGATGACTGCGACTGAACTATACTACCTTGTGCTGACAAAACGTGGTCTAGGTAATTACGGCGATTCCATCACAGTATTTTAGTAAAAAGAGAGGTTTGGCAAACGGTCTCATTTTCGCAGGCAGCGGCCTCGGCGGTGCCGCGATTAGCTTTGCGCTGGATCCTCTGATTGAAAAGATTGGTCTCACCATGGCGTATCGCGTCCTCGGCATCGCGACGCTCGCCACGGGACTGCCCGCCGCCTGGATCATGAAGGAGCGCACCCGCCTACCGCGGCGCCAGTTTATCGAGTGGTGAGTTCTTGTGTGTGTTGTGCGGATGCTCTGACCAAAAAGATGCCCCTTTCTTACACTGGCGTTGCCAAAAAGGAAAATGTTCAAGTCGGCCAACTTTGTCCTCATCTGCGCCGCCACAGCCATTGGCACCTTTCCGCTCTACGTGCCGCCGTTTTTTCTCCCGCTCTACGCCAACTCGCTCGGCTTCTCGTCGTCGACCGGCGCTGGCCTCGTTGCCGGCTTCACCCTGTCGTCGGCGGTCGGCCGCATCGTCTGCGGCTACCTCTGCGACATGATGGGCGCCATCAACGTGCTCCTCACGTCCCTGGTCCTGACGGCGCTGAGCATGCTGGCCATCTGGCCGGCGTCGACGACGCTGGCTCCCCTGGCGCTGTTTGTCGTCGTCAACGGCCTCTCCAACGGCGGCTTTTTCTGCACCATGCCGACTGTGGCCAGCAACGTCTTTGGCAGCGCGCGGGTGGGCGTGGTCATGAGCATGATCATCACGGGATGGATCGGGGGGTATTTGATGGTGCGTAGTTCAGGAAGCGTTTCGCTATTCGTATTGTTTTTTTTTTTTTTTTGCTAACAGTCTCTGGTGCAGGGCGCCCCCATTGCTGGCTATTTGCTCGAGGCGTTTGGCGGTGCTGAAAAGGGCCTGACGGCGTATCGACCTGCCATGTTTTACGGCGGCTCTCTAAGTCTTGTCTCGGCGCTTTTGGTTCTAATTGCAAGAGTGCGAGTCAACAAAAAGGTGTTTGTCAAGGTATAGTAGCCTAATAGAAGACTTTGGTGTATATCGAGAGTTGCTGTACGAAGTAAATGGACTGATCTATGCGTCAAAGCTAGTCTCAATTGACAGTTGATTCAGTAGCCGGTCAAATAGCAGCAAAATTGCGGCTGGTAATGATTAACTGGCCGTTGATCAACTGGCTGTCGATTCACTGGCTGTTGATTGACCAACTGTTCCTGTCTGACCCTCTTGGACTTGACGTTCACTATGTGCCCTCACATTACCTCCGCATCCTTTTGGGCATCTCGCAGCAACTGCCTCACACGAGCGTATAGTCCAAGATTCTCGTTTCTCCACGACTTGCCGCCTGGGAACAGTAACTGACGCAGCCGATTCACCCCTGGAATCAAAGACCTGAAATATGGTGAAAATGACTGCTCAACTTGATCGAGACAACTTCCGTCGCGTCAATCGTCACGCATTGCGCTGGACGTGCTCCAGCCGATTGGTGCATTCAGATTAGGCTCCCTCTCCTGTACATCTTCCCGCCTTTTGGGGATCTGTGAGCAGTGATTAATGCCAAGTGGCAGTCTAAGTTCTGAAGTCCCGGTTGTATCAACCGAGCTAACTCGAGGAGACAATCGAATTCAACTAATGCGACAATGCAGAATGTGACTAGTTGGAATTTAACAATTTGACTGCCAGAAAAGGTCCACCAAGCTGTGAGCACGCTTTGTACTTTGACAATGGCTGCCAATATGCTTCCCGCTCAACAAGGAGTTTATTTCAGCACAAGAAGATAGTGAGAACGAGCCATGCGTACATTTCATAAGAAGGGTTTTCCAAGACAAAAAGCTCCTAAATCAACCGAGGTGCGAGTAGCTCTTCCTTCAAGAGTGGTCTTTCGCTCGGCCACATCCTGTTCCTGTTCATTACAATTGGACGGATATTTGCATACTTGCCGAATTCCATGTGGGCGAGTCTTCCTAGGTCTGTTCTCAAGTCGTTTCGACAGTAACATTGATAAGGTTACTGAGTCTTTGTTTCTCTGGATCCTCATTGATGCTAAAGATATCAATTGGCAAGGCCGACCGAGTATGTCGCGATATGAGTGACTTTCTGACATCGTCATCGACGCTGACGTCGAGAATGGTGCCTAGAAACTTTTGATCCGAGCTACTCATGGCGTCTCTCATCATTCTGTAAATCACCTCTGCCAAGTAGTAGTTTTGCCCTTGAGTTCGAAGGCCTTTCGCGACAAGGTAAATGGTGGAGCGATAGGCGTCGTTTAGTTCGCCCGCCGGGGAAGTAGCGATCGATCTAATGTGCATGAACCCGAGGAACATGAGAAACTGCATCATAAAGACGTCGTGGGAGTCGAAACCGTGATGAACATAATACAGCCGCACCAAAGTCTCTAGCTTTATCTTGGCGAGTGCCAGGACAGTTGCGGCCGATAATGTTTGATCCTGGGAGGACTCATCGGCGGAGGAGCTTAGAGGGTCGAGGATAAATATCAATGCGCTAAGATAATGCATACTAATAAGCAGCAGTTAGAACGCCATGAGGCTAAATGAACTAGTGTAGCCGGAAAAAGAAAAACATACTGCATTTTCAAGTGGCTGGGCAACAGAACTTCATTAGCTGAAAGTTGGCGAGGCAGATTGTTGTACCACGTGTTGAGACGTTCTTGAAAATGGACTTGTTCCTTCCGTGAAAGACCCTTTCTGCCTTCAGCAAAAGCCTGCCACGCCATGTCGTTGAAGATGACACGAAACTCGGCCGTTGCCTTGAAAGTATAGCCATGCCACATGGGCAGTAGTCTCTGATCTGTCGGATAGCTTAGCCACAGCTCCCCATACCACTTTGCGTGGGTGGCAGGATCTGGCAGTATTGCTTGCGGCGCATGCCTCACAACGGGCGGTTTGAAAAGATGAAAACAGCTGAACCTGAAAATAGTCGTCAGCTCCAGTTCGCCGGTTGCACAAGAGTAAAGGTGCTGTTTACGCTTGGAAGCCGTAAAGCCCCCAGGCAGTGAACGTCTTCACCACCTTGATCTTTTGGCTGTCGGAATCCGGCACGTCACCGAAAAGGTCTATGCTTTCCGCGGCTGCTATGGCCTGTATCATGTATGTCCACCCCACCTTGTCCAAGCCGTTCATGTTGTACGTGAGAGACAGGATGGTTGCTGCCTGGATATTCGTTAGACTGCTGTTGCCGATTTCTAGTTCCCAGAGTCGCCTGCATTCCGCAAGAAAGCGGTATCCCATGGTGCTTGGATCCCAAAACTCGGCGCGGTTTTCGACATTACGGTAGCCATGCTGGATTCAACTGTGAGCCGGATTGATCCCATCGGGAAATCTGCAGGGACTTACACAAGCGGCTGCGAGAATAGCATTCACCAAAAGGGATGAGCAGCATTCTTCGCATCCGGCAATCAAATCCTCCAGGAAATAGTCTTTGTGGAAAAACGGAAAGAAAGGAAACTCGAATTGGAAATAGATCTTGAGAAGGTGGGTGAGGAAGGCGTTATCCCGAGTCACTGCCGTCCACTCGGATAGTTTGACCGAGCCAAAGCGGGGATCCACTAGCTCTGCCGCATGGTGAGGAATAAAATATTGTACGCCTAAGTCGTTGCTAGTTGTACCGTTTGTCGTATCCGTACGTTGTTCGGTTCGGGTTGATCGATAGAGAGGGGAGTTTAGATAGACGTTATCTGGCTGACATAGAAACGCTGGCATGTGTCGAATGTAAGGAAATGTATATTGAAACTGCGTCTCAGGGTGCAGATGCATCTGCACGAGGAGATCGCCATCCTGAACGAGGCTCAGAATAGTTTCGACGTCGACACCGCTTCGGACTCGTTTACAGATTTCCATGGCCTCCTTTTCCTTGTGCGAGCGAAGCAGCGTAATGAAGGCCTCAAAGTTCTTTACTTTGTTTTCAGACTCTGCATACTTGCGCTGTAGTTCCTGAGTTGATGGAGATGCTCGCAGAGTCTTGTACGTGCACTCTATCTGGTTTTTGCGGCAAGTGAAGCAGGTTTGCTGGCCATCACACTGCGCTTCGGTTAGTGAGGGACATGGCGGCTGATGTATTTCGATCTGTCTTTGCCTCGAACCTTGATCTTTCGGCTTCGGCAAGCATCACAGGCAATGGAAACTGCTTGTCTTTTCTTGGGCAATGAAGTCACACGCGGAGGAGGTCCAGGGCCGCGCCCGCTGTGGCCACCAGCAGAACCTCCGGTAGTGGCCGGTAGTAGCGGCCGGTAGCTGCTGCGGCTATTCACACCGTCGCTCATTGCTCACTGTGCAATGCTTCATTCACTCGGCTTGGCTTGTGTCGTACGATGTCATGAGATGACCGGAGGAGGAACCTTTGCCAAAACCTGGGGAGGAAGCTCTCGGGGAGGTCCGAGGCCGCCCATTGGCTGGGCAATTAAACCCTGTAGCGGGACTACGGCCCGATGGGGGAGGGGGAAAATGAACGTGTAATATTTACGTCAGAACGTCGAGGACAATAGGTTGGGTTAGCTCGATAATAATGATATAAATGCCGGCCAGGGCGGCAAGGCGGCTTGCTTGGGCACAAGAAGAGGCTGGCATTCTCGGCGTCTTCAATGCGCCAGTGTTTGCGGCAACACATGTCGCTAGCGCTGTACGTTGATATTGATAGCAGTTGTATCGAATCGGTAGCCGTAGCCTGCCATCCTTGGCAGACCGGATGATGGGGCCCCAGCACCTAGCTATGGAGTCGCTGTACGATGGGATGATCGATTGCACCTGGAGAGAGGCAAGAAAGGGTTTGAAGCCAACAACGCTCACGCGACTGGCTGGGCGGAAGCAAGTAATCGACCTATCGGTCTGGATACCGTCGCACAATATATATTATATTAAACCTTTTTGCTTCAAATACTACCTGATTCATCCACACTAGTAAAAATAGAGGCAGCAGGCTTGATACCTTAGGCAGCAGTATGGGTCCACTTTTGTCCTTTTTTGGAGTTGTCCCCTGCTGCACCGTCTAGATAGCGTTGATCAACAAATTCCGCAACACCACCAAGAACCCCCCCTTCATGATATGCTCCGCAGTTCCCCGTGGGGAAGCAGCACAAAGACACTGTGATTTCGACGACTCGGCGATTTCCAACGCAATTCTTTCCTTGGCGCAGTCGTCACTGTCTTTGAAAACCTCCATCGTTGTCGCATGAATTTTCTCGGTACCGCCACCATGATCATTCTTCGACGCCGGCGCGGACAATAAGGACGGGAATTGTAGAAATATCCACCACTATGACATTGAAAGCCGAGTAGCGGATGACTAGGGCGACGACCGGAAAAGAGGCCGCATGTGATAGAGGCGCTCTCTAGCTGCCATCTCGTCAGGGACCATCTCGCGCGACTGCGTGTAATTAATCCTTGCGCGTAAATTAGCACTTCACTTGGCCGTGTAGTCTACCATTTCCTGCGAGCAAGATTCGCCATGAGGGGCCGGCGAGTCCGGCACCGTACAGACCTTGATGAGAAACTGCTCTATCAATGTCACTCGGGTAGGGGCGGAACCAGCGCTTGTGTGTGTATCTTCAAAAAGAGCCTGCTGTGCGCCCAGTTTTCTCTCCAAGAGAATTCTTCATCGGAGTAGTATTCTTCCCTAAATATTACCATTCTCTTGATGATATAATAGGTAATGCAGATTTAAGACTTACATCAAATTGAGCCCGCCGCCATCTCGCCATTCTAATACTCTGGTCGGCGTACCAGTGCACGTTGCTCCGCTTGCCTGCCTGACCGCCAAAATGACCGAAACAAGATGATTCAATGCGCAATAATAAAAGCGGCGAGGGGGAGAAACTGAGGCCGCAAAGGACTGTAGTCAAGTCCTTGGTATTCTCTATACCATACTGAGCATGTAACCAACTTTGACGACGGTGCTTCATTACTTTGTGCTGTATCGAATGATATCTTGAAAGAATTGATGTAATATGAACTGCAATTTATTATTCATCCTCGAGCAATTTTCTCACCTTTACAGCTGGTAAAAGGGTTGCAAAAGACGCACGCTCAGGAGCCAGCATGCAGACGGCAGGCTACCGACTGCAGCCCACACCAGGCTTCAGTACGAATGCACAGTTGTCTCACTTCAAGGAGACCTCGGACAGTCTCAGAATTCCCATCTTCTTGTCGTGCGATTGGATATTCAGTCACGGGATCGTCCGACTCTCACGACACATGACTCGATAAGCGAAACAGATGGTTGTCTAGCTACAGCCGTCAATACGGCAATAGAGATGGATGGACGAGCCGAAAACAGACGTCAACTACAGCTGACGCCATCGACATCGACCAAGCGCCGGGAAGCGCAAGCGGGACGAGAGGCTCATCCCAGGACCGCCCACTGTATTGCCTTTGAAGGAGGCGTCGGCGATGGAGCGGCCCGCTCTCTTTGTTTTTTGTGCCGGTGGCTGGCCGAGACGGACCAACCTCGAACTAAGCGTGTCTGGTCGATCTTGGCTTGCTAGTGCGTCGAATGTATAAGTGGAAACAAGGGTTATCAGCTACCGGACAGGATGGACCAGGGACACATTCACGGAATAGGCGACAGTATTTGCTAACCGCAGAGATCCGACCCATGGCTTTCCGCCCGTTGTCATTCCAAATCACTTTTCTTTGTGACTGTTGTGCCGTTGCCTGTAGCTGCTGCCTCGATAGGACTCTGGAGACGGCCTGTTCCACTTCCATGGATCGGCATGGCGATCTTGTATCTCATCTATGGGGCTAGGGTGCATACTATAATTAGTTGTCTGATAATCCAAAGTCAATGGGCCGATCACTCCCGCTTACTTACTTATTACACGCTTCTTAACAAGAACTCTGCCAAGCCTGTGAGCTCCACAGCTTCTCTACTTCATACGCCATTCAAAGCCCCTTGTTTGCTTCTCGGGAGCGACATGCCACGCACGATTTCCCGTCGGCAAACATTTGACTCTGACACTAGTCGGGCAACGTGCATCTTTTCATCCTTTTTCTTACATCTTCAACGCGGTGCTTCTTTTAGTGTCCTAAGTACGAGATGATTACCGACGAAGATATTGACCAAATAGGCGCCAGGCCGTTGACGACTGGCGATTGGTTCAAGGTGGTTGGTATCATGGCGATATATCGTGAGTTGAAAGGCACAATTCCCATGCCCGGACAAAAAGCCCAGAAGCGCTTCTTGCTTTTAAGTTTGTATGCAGATGCTAACGTGGGCGACTTCATTTTAGCCATAATCTTCTTGTACCAGCTTGCCAAGTTCTTCCTCCCTAGTCATCCGCAGTACGACTTTCACTGGCGTCAAAAGGCCATCCTCGCTGCCATCCGCACCTCCAACGTGTTTCAGAGTCAAAAACGCATCGTCTACGCGGGGGGCCACACAAAGACGTCCAGCGAACGGATGCGCGGTTACGCCGCGAAGCGTGAGGGGATCAAGCACCGCGAGGTTTCGGTGCCAATCAATACCGCAGTGACGGCCGCCAATCCCGCGACGGGCAGAGCCACGTCGTCGCCCACTCTTCACTTCTTCTCGGGACCGTGGCTCGCGGGCGAGCCCGGCAACGACGACGACAAAGACGGCCACGGCCGCGGAGACGGGCCCATCATTGTGTATGCCCACGGCGGCGGCTACGTTGAGCCCATTGCGCCGAGCGCCCACGTCGCGCTCGCACGCAGCATGGCCAAGGCGTGCGGCGCGCGCCAAGTCATCTTTGTTGCCTACGCGCTCTGCCCCGAGGCGCAGTACCCATCGCAGCTCGTCCAGATTGTCGAGTCGCTGCGCCACCTCCTCGAGCAGGAGAACATCCCGCCTGGAGACCTCGTTCTGGCCGGCGACAGCGCCGGAGCGCACATGATGGCCTCGCTGCTAGCACACATTGCCGCTCCCGCGCCCTACGTGCCGCCCCTGCGACCCAGCGGCCAGTTCCTGGCCGTGGTGCTGCTCTCGCCGTGGTTTACGTGGACCGACGCCGCGAGCCTCGGCACCAGCGCGTGCGACTTTCTCGAGGGCCCGCACACGGCGAACCTCGTCCGCGTGCTGCGGCCCCGTGTCGAGGATGTGTGGTGCGAAATTGTTGCCGCGCCAAACGCGCACGAGGTCTGGGCGCGTGTCTTTGGGGTAGAGGGCAGCGGTGAGAAGCCGCTCGTGAAGCGCTTGCTGGTGACGGCGTCGGACTCGGAGATTATGCATCGTGACGCGCGGGTCTTTGCAGTCGAGTACGCGGGTGCGACGAGCGTGAGTGTGGGTGCGGGCGATTCGGAGACGCAGTTTGCGAGGGTCAGGTCGGAGACGAGAGTGTTTGCTGTGGGTAGGAGGGAGACGCACGTGCAGCCGGGCTTAGATGAAGCGGTCAGGTATTACGGAGGCGGGACGTGGCGAGCACTGCAAGCTTTCATGTCGTCTCTTCGGGATTAGTGAGACTGGAACGTGGTATTGGCATGCAAGTCGCTTTTGGAGCTGCGCACAGTGCGAAATTTCAGTTCTGCGCTTACTTGACGATTCATGAGTATAAATGACAGGCTTTTTTGATCCGGGTCGTTGTGTAAGTAACGCCCCCGTGTCCGGGATGCAGATGCCGCGGGTGTAATATATACTGACACTGAGACGAATAGCTCCCTCAAAGCTAATAGCGTTAGCCACTGAGTTTACTTGGTTTGCTGCAGCACCGCGTTCAAAAACGCAATCGCATCATCCATGCCCGCAGGCGCATTGAACCAGTGCCCTCCACTCGGATACTCTCTCCAGGCCACCTTTGCCCCGAACCCAGTCAAAGTATCACGCAGACCACGACCATTCTGCACCAGCACCAGCGGATCATCGACGCAGTGCTCGAGCAGCATCGGCGTGTTGGCCAGGACACCGCCGCCGTCGTCGCCGCTGTGCTCCGGCACGCCTGGCTGCTGCAGCCCCAGCACCTCACGCATGCCCGCGAGCGACCTCCCGGAAAAGGGACAGCGGGCCGAGAATCCCATAAACGCACCCAGCGCCGTCGCCTCGGGCACGAGGACGTCGAGGTTGAAAAGGGTGTGCACGCTCGTGGCAGCGCCCATGCTGATGCCGGCGAGGATGACGCGGTCCCAGCGCCCGCCCAGCGCGGCCGCCTCCTCTGCGAGGATCCGCGCAATCTCGGGAACCACTGCCCGGAGCCCATCGAGCTGCAGCTCCTCGCGGGCGGCAAAGTCGCTCGGGTCCCAGACGTCGAACCACTGCGGCCAGGTCTCGCCCCCCGCGCGCGCGCAGCGGCTCAGAGGCGCCTGCGGAAAGACCCAGCGAAAGTTGGGAAACGCGCCCAGGAGCGTCTGGCCGTGCGAGGAGCGGAAGTGGGCAAAGGACGCGATGAAGCTGGTGGTGTTGTCGCCGCGGCCGTGGAGAAAGACGACGGTGTGCGTGTGGGTGCCGCTAGGAGGCGGCAGCCTGGTGACTTGGACCGTGCCGACCATGGTCTTGTAAGTTTGTGTTGACGATATTCAAGTTTTGAAAGGTCTATGTAGATGGGAAATGGAATTTGTCGAAAACTGTGTTTGGGGGCAGTATATAAGGCAGCATATAATAAGAAATTGTTGGGCGTTTGTCTGGCTGCTTGGCTGCCTGGTCGTTTGAACACTGGCGGGCGCCCATTAGCCGCCCGCCAGCTGTCACTCCAAAAAAAACAGACGCCTGTTGCCTGGAGTCTTGACACCAACGTCATTAACCTGGCAAACGGCCTAAGATTATCACAAGACCACACAAAAGCCAAAAAGAAATATATACAACACCTAGTGTTGGCTGGTCGTTACTCACCCAACTACTAATCTAGTGTATGCGTGGTGGTTACCAGTTGGAAACAAGACAAAACGACTTTCCCCTAAGAACGATAATTAGCTAGACTTGCCCCAAGACCTACTAAAATATTAATATTGATATTTACTATATTTATTATTATAAAGGATAGAATAATACTTATATATTATAGTTATTATATAGTAATAAGCTCATAATATTAGCTTAACCAAGCTATCAATACTCTTCTTAGATGTCTTAGGGTAATAAAAAGATAACCTTATTAACTTTGTTAAGTTTATCACCATTGAATGAAGGTATTTTATGATAGTATTTAAAGGCACTAATATAAAAAAGTACGTATTACCATGCAATGGACAACAATGTGTCCAATACGGAATTGCTTGGTTGCTGTCCAACTGTCAAACTGCACACTCATGTTTATCACAAATTGTAGGCGTATTTGCTCAACCAACTACTTTCTTTACCTACACAACAGCAGTGCTACTAGCCCCAGCTAAAGTCGAGAAACTCCTGCCTCTTCTCCTCCGCCTCCTTCTTCTCCTTGACCTCGCGGAGAATGTCGGCCACAATCGGCCCAACTAGCTTGGCCGCATACGGCGCCACGTTGACAAGCTTGGGGCCGACCTTTCTCACGGTGGTCAAGAGCTTCTTGAAGAAGCTCTCCGTCAGCTCAAGCTCGGTACGCCTCTCGATGCACGCTTGCAGGCACGCCTCGGCCATCATGGCTCTGTGGACCAGGGGATCAAGGTAGGTCGGCGGCGCCGGCGCCGGCGGGGGAGCGTTGAGCCCTCCAGTCTCAGTCCCCAGAAGCAGCGGCAGGCCAATTTTGGCCACGTCAGCGAGCACGGGGCCGGCCTTCTTGAAGGCACTGCCGATGAAGTCGCCAATCGTGGTCATCGTGGGGAGGAAGGGACTGATATTCGCTTCTGGTTCTGCCTTGACGGCATTGACCAGCGCATCGAAGAACTCCTGCTCCTTGGCCCCCAGCATGCGCCCAAATCCCGTCTCTTGCTCCGCCTGGTCACGCGACCTGCGATTATCCCCAAGATCCGTGGTAGAAGGGGCCGTGAATCCACCGATGCGGGAGACTAGAACCCGGAGGCTGGGCTCCAGTATTCCTTTGAGGAGCCGCGGCGCGACCTTGAGAACAAATGGCGCCAGGCCCGCCACAACGGGCCCCATGAAGAGTTCCGCCTCTTTCTGAGTGTCGCCATCGGAAGCATAGTAAAATTGCAGCGCGGCTTCAGCGAGGACGGCGCGGCTGATGGTGCCGTCGTACGGGCGAGTCATGGCCAGCGACTCAGCTTGGGATGCGGTCCGGCAATCGGCAGCCAGCCGGCCTGCTGTGGCAATGGCGGCAGCGGCGAGGATACTAATTTCCGGGCCGACTTCTGCGCCAAAGGACAGCTCGCTGAGCGTGGCATTCATCATATGAGTCGAGACTGGCGCGACAACTTTTGCGGCCTGGCGCTTGCTGTTGCTCAGCATCTGATCTGCCAGGTCGGCCTTTGCCTCAGTAGTTTCCTTATTGATGAGATAAAGCCAGTCTTTATGCTCCTTATCCGGTTGTGAAGCTGTCTGAGGGACATCGTCTTTTGTGGAGAGGTCATTGGCGACGAGCTGTAATGCCGAGAAGCGATTTCCCCATCGCCCATCGAACACGGATGCCGAGTTGTACGACTGGCCACCTAGGACGTGAACTCCTATTGAAACGAGCGACCGCCTGTTGTTAAAGACAGGAGAGCCCGAGTTTCCTTTGCAAGCAATGGTCAGCATCATTTACTTTTTTTACTGAAAAAAGTGTACTCACCTCCATACGTGTCAATCTTGTACTGCAGCATGTGTTCGTCTGCGTCCTCAAGCCTGTAATCAGTTCTGGCAAACATCTCATACATCCTCGCACCTCTCTCTCCGTCATCCATGATATCACCTGGGTAGCCCACAACTCCCAGATCCGCACTGTTCTGGGCAAAGGGTGTCTGTGTCCAATTAAAGCAATTGTCCACGTCCAAAAATGGGCTCTCGAGCTTAATGAAAGAAATGTCCCGGGGCTCGGCTCCAAGTTTGTCACACCATTCGGGGTTGGTGGCGATGGCCTTCCCCCATCGACCTTCGGCGTTTGTAAGGTTTTGATAGCCTTGGTATCCGATATATGCCCTGACTTTGACGGCTCGTCCGAGGCCGTGGGAATGATCAAAGGCACAGTGGCCGGCCGTGACGACTAGATCCTTCGCAACTAGCCAGCCGGTAGCAATGGGCCATGCGGCTTCATTGTCCTTCAGCAGCTGCTGCTGTTGATCGTAGAGGATAAAAAGCTTGACAATGGCTAGTAGCAGTTCACGTTAGTCTACCGTAGGTTACCTCGGCTTCCCCTCCAGGCCTTTACTAGAGAAAGACGGAGAGGACAGAAAGAGTGGGATCAAGGGACAAAGATTTACCGCGGTATTTTCCGGACCGGTTATTGAAGTGCTCTTCAGGCACTTTTGCACGTCCGTCAAAGGTATTGACAACGGACTCAGTACCGACGGGATCCCGCGAGCGGCTGAGACTTTGAGTATAGCGGGGAACGTTGTCTTTGGCGTTGTTGAGATACCAGAAATAAACCGGAGTTGTCTTGGTGGTAGCCTGCTCAACGTTGCCAGAGTCATCTGACTGGGAAGCAGTATGTTTACCCCGGGCGGGATGTTTGCCCTTGAGCATGTCAGATTTGTCCGTGTCCTTGAAGACGCCAGGTTTGTTGGTTATGGTGGACATGATTGCGATTGAAACAACAAGGTTCACAAGTTGTAAAGTCAGAAAACAATCTCGTGCTAGATGGGGAGACAAGACAGAAAGCAAGCAGATGGATGTAAATGTTGGGGCAGAGCTGATATCAACGAGAGCCGATGAGTGTGACGATATGCCTAGATTGCCGGAGCGAGCCAGATTGTAGAGCTTTCTGGGTCATACAAAGGCTGGAGAACAGCCTCTATTTATACATAGGGGCAAACACGAATAACACACAACTATAGTTCGATACGAGCGCTTTTCAGGTCATTGGGAAGCTACCAATGCTGCGTGTTCTTTCCTTCTGGTGCCCTCGATTCGAAGAGGGAGCTATGGAGGGGCGGCACACCACCGACCGCGATTACGCAAGACAGTTGCCTTGATGACAATGAAGGAATAGACAATTGCCGAATGCCATGATTACTGCTCTAGCAATTCAACCACCATCACCATCTCTCGCGGGCAACATCCGAGTGGCTGGAAAGGCATGAGTTATCGAGGGGTTGAACTCGCACATGCTGTCTATTGCCAGTTGGATGATTGGTAATATACAGCCTCTTTACGTAACTGGTCCTCGAAAGGGGTTGCTGCATTTTAACTGTGTATACCTCGTCAACGAGACGTTGAACCTCGTCAACGAGACGTTGGCTGGTAAACGAGGCATGTCCACCTCCGGAGATGCGAAGAAGTAAAAGGTCGAGCGGCCGCCTTCCGACACAGCTGTGTCATTGGCAGTTCAATGAATGAGGAGTAAAAGTCACCGTGGGCTCCTTCCATACAAATCGGGTTACAGCTTGCAACCCTCCTTTGGCTAATAAACTGATAGGTGTGGTGGCGAGAAGGCTGTGCGCAAAGAGAGAACAGACTCTGATATCAACAGAATGTTTCATACCAAGCATTTCGGACTCGAAGCCCTGGCTTGCAGTAGCTCCGGGGAATGGCGTGCGCCTCCGGATGGCGCTGTTTCGGCTGACTGCATGTTTATATATATGCATATGCACGCAGAATTGGGCTCGTTTACGTGTATCATACTACGTGTATGAATGCCTGAGCCAGACAGCGATTCCCAATATTCGTTCCTCGTTTTTGCGAACCACAGGCGTTATTTGCGAACCGCTTAGTTGCACTCAACAGCGAGCAGGGAGGGGAACCAGGCAAAGCAGCGCAGTTTTGAGACACGAGTTTTCTTCCTTTCATCCGAAGGATGCCACCCTACGGCGATTTCTCGTGACAATCAAGCTCCCTCTCTTTCTGTCCTCTACTTTTTGTGACATTCAGAAATCCCCATACGCGCCTTCTGAGCTTCAAGTTCCTCCAAAGTGTTTGCCTATAGATACCGATACTTCTTCTTCTTCTTCTTCCTTTCTAATTACGCAGACTGTCCGGCTTATCATCGAATACAATGGAAGGCGCCGGTATAGAGAAAGTTGCCTTTTGGGGCCTTGAACCGTACAACGCAGAGCAGGCGTCAGACCTACCTGACCAGGTCGAGCCCTGCATCCTTGGATCTGGAGTCACCGATATTGGCATCTTCCCTGAAAATGACGATGTCAGGATCCCTGTGAACGAGGAAGATGTTAACCCTGGTGGAAAGTATCATTGTTCGAACTCCCACCCCCCTCTGCTTTGGCCGAAATCCTGTGAGCACACACAGGACTGACAATCCGAGGGCACAGCAATCGTGAAACTCTTCATTCAAAATCAGCCCTCGTGCACCTGGACTACGGCCACGGGTTGGCTATGCCGAGATGACCTTGTGGTCACCGCTGCCCACTGCGTCCTTAAAGGCGACCAGCATGCGGCTTGCATCAGTGTATGCATTGGATACAGCGCAAGCAGTGGAGGTGCTGGAGCTTCGTCCGACAACCAGCGCTCTGTAACCCGCGTCGCGTTGCCGTCCGCATGGAGTGACTCCAGCGCGAGTCCGTCTAACATGGCGTTCTTACAGCTCGATGAGCCGTTCCAGGACGTGACGCCTATCAAATATAGCACGCCAGGGACCAAGTTGCAGGAGCCGCTTACCGTTGTCGGATATGCTTCCGACATTGGTGCCAGGGCTGGATCCCCTGGCGGCGAGATGTATCAGATGCAAATATGCCGAGAGATTGATCTCGACACGACCAGGTGGAACATGTTGGTTTATCAAGGCGACAGTATGGGAGGTGAGCCGAATGTTCTCCTCAGGACTCACAAGCAAACACTGACGGTTGCCTCTACGGCACTAGGATTTGGTGGAGCGCCCATCATCCGGGACAGTGATTTCGTCGCGATCGGGGTACACGCTCGGGGCGGCAGTTTCAATTTTGGGACTGTTATCGGCGGTCCTTTTGGAGTCAATGTTCCCGTTTACGAAGAGGCGTTGAGGATCCTTGGAGAGGGCAACGAGCCCTCTGACGTCAAAGTTGATACAGACACCGATATGGAGTGGTTAAAGTATACGTACGTAGCCTGCGAGTAGCTTTCTTGATACGTATCGTGCTCGTTGCTAGTGTCGAGGCTCATACTAGAGTTGACAGAACTGGGAGAATTGTACCGCTATAATCGAATTGAAATGAGTGTATACATGAGTAAAGACTAGAGGCGCCATTTTCCAATCAAGTCGAGTTTGGCGATGGTCAAGTGAGGGGCAAGGAGTCGGACCCCGCGATCGCTTACCCCTCCTTGCCCTCCCTCACCTACACGCCATACCTCGCATCTTACAGCTTCATTCGGGGCGGCGGCATAGGTGTACAAGCTTGGCATGCCCGTACAGTATCTGGCCCGAGTAGTATGCGCTACTCGAATCTAGCCGCGTCTGGCTGGACAGAGTGCGGCCGTCCATGACAGAAACAAAGAGATGCCTACATCAGCTATCCAGAGATTTCACTTGTGACAATAACAGTAAAACGTGGTTCAGACCGCCATCGACGATACGGAAAAGCCCATCAAGGATGCATGGCCACCTCGCTTTGTTCAGTGGCCATCCCCAACGATCAGGCATATCAAAAGTCGATGCCCATTTCGTCGGCTCCCACGCCCATGTACGTCTTATGAGAGACATGGTGTCGAGCTTCCTCAACATCAATTCGTTCAACAATAGCTCGTCTGCCCGCAGAGTACCCGTCCAGCCCAGGGACGTCAGGAGCACATCAATGATTGATTGCGCCCATATGTCGTAGAGGTAGCCGCAGAAGGAAGTCTCCGAATCGACTCCTCCTCCCAGCGATTGAAACTGCATTTCCATGATGTAGCATCACCCCTGCGCGCCATCCTAGTGACGTTAAGCCCATGCATGGCCATTTATAACCCCCCCGGGCCCTTTAACCCATCATCCTTTAGCCAACATCTGCGCTTTCTCCAAACAAGTCGAGCTGCTGCAGGCACCGCGCCGTGTTCACATACGCAGATATGAATCTGCGCAAACATCCTAGTCGATTGCGTCCTCTGGTGGTTGGGATGGGGTGGTCATCGCCCGTGGTGGAAGTGCCAGGCCTGGGAAGCTTAGAGATGGTGCAGAGGGAGCGCCAAAAATCATGTCCAACTCCTTTACAATATACAAAACATCAATGAAATGTTCACTGTTCCAAAGATCTTTGACAGCCAGGGCCTCAAATCATATACGCAAAAGGCCGGTGCTACGCCACCAACCAACCCTTCATTCACACACACTTGCCTCACAAAATGTGTCCCACAATCGTCCTTCTTCATCAAGCCGCATCTATTATAATTCTTCTTTCAAAATCTTGCGCATCTACCATTTCTCCCACAGCCTCTGACCTGTACAAAGCGGCGCGGCCCGCGCGCACTTGCATCACAATGCATCGTCCATCACCCCCGTCTTTGTCCTCGCCAGCCATGTCGACGGACCCCAACGTCGATCAAAAAAAGAAAAAGTGTTTCCAGAAAGAAAGAAGAATGAAGTTACAGGAAAGAAAGTGAAGCATTCGTTGGCTATCAAGTTCCAACAAGACAAAAAAATTATAAAAAGTCTCAGCATCTCCTTCTTCCGGCATCATTCCCAACGCCAACAAATGCATCGCAGCCTTCTTTCACTACCCCGTTTCTCTTTCATGATGGTATTTGCCACTTCGTCTCAGGAGGAGAGAGATATAGTTACTCTGAGCCATGCCTCTCAAACCTCCATCCCGAGACGGTCGATTAGCCATCAAGGCCTTTCAGAACTCCAACTTCAGGGGAGCAGACAGAGTACATCGTGATTCACAACTTTCACGATTTCATTGCAGGGCCAATGACCAAGTAAATCGAAAGACATGAATTCTCACCAAACAGCCCGCCGCTTCATAAAAGCTGGCCGTGCCCTTCAACGTTTCTCTCGCCTCGCCAACAACCCCATGGCTTACAGACTCTTCCTTACCACTCTGCAAAGAAATATTGTGAGTCAAACTCATTCGCCACCAGCTCATCCTCGGATACGTTTCCTCCACGCTTTACGCACCATCCACGGCATCTCCATGGCGGACATCCTCGACGCGGTCCGTGACAGACCCGAAAACGCCGGTCGCCAGACCAGGCGCGGCCGCACCCGCACCAAGGCTTCCCAGCCTCTCTCGCCAACCAAGGCTACTCGGGGCCGGGGCCGGGGCCGGGGTCCCGCTGCCCGCCGCATCTGTGACTTTTGCAGGAATGATGCCGCTGGACAGGTCATGCACGCCGCGCAGGCGTGCGACTGGCGCGACGGCAAGTACCCGCTCGAGTGCACCAACTGCGCCGACCACCGGGCCCTTCATCCCGTCGAGGCCGCCGAGCACGTCTGCCAGGTGCCGCGCAAGGCGCTTCTGTACCGCAAGTACTCGGTGCACCATCCGACGCGGTACGACCAGGCCGTCAGCCCGCAGACTGGGCTGCCGACGGACGAGGGCGTCTGCTGCGTTAGGTGCATCGCCGACGGCAACACAGTGGCATGCGACGTCGACCCGATCCTGGGATACCAGTGCTCGCGGTGCAAGCCTGCAGACATGTGTCAATTGCGCGACGGCCGCTTCATGGACAACAAGCCCAATCTGCGCCAGGGCGTCGTCAAGTGGTTCCGGCACGCATGCGACGGGTGCGCGCAGCTGGCGGCTGGGCGCCGCAGAGGCCGAACAATCCAGTGCTCGTGGCTCCAAGACCACACGACATGGGACCAGCCTTGCCGTCGCTGTCGCAGCAACAACCTTGTGTGTCTGGCATCAGCCATTGTTACGTCGATGCCAGCAGCCATCAGCATTCCAGAAAACTGGCGCCCGCGCAGCTTTATTGCTCTCGGGTGGGCTGAGCTGCGGCCCAACACGGTGTGGCGCAAGGCATGCATGAATTGCCGCCGTGATAGCAACCATTGCCGCGCCTCCATTGCCAATCCCTACTCGGCCTGTGGGCGCTGCACGGCCATGGGCCTCGATTGCGTTGACAACGAAGGCACCGCCTACCCAATCTTTGATCTGTCGCAGGTTGGCTTTGGAAGCTTCCTACCGTTTACCGCTTGTAGGCGGTGTGTGGAGATGGGCCGAAACTGCGATAGGCAGCGGCCTTGCGACTCGTGCACAAACGCGCGAGAGGCGCATCTCTGCGACAATGCTTTCCTGCGGACAGATTCTGGCAAGAAGCGCATGGCGAATTGCATCCATGGGCGTCTGCACCCTCGGCCTGGCCCCTTGTACTATCTTGCCCACGGCTACGGTGCCAATGGTGTCGACGATGTAAAGGATGGCTCGCAAATGGAGCACTGGATCGGCCCGCTGACCGAAACATATGTCATGCCGTCCGTCTCTTTCCACGAAGGCTCACTCATCCGAGAAGTTTCAAGACAGCGCGAGTCGCTCGTTCCGCGTGCTGCTACGCCGCCGCACGCCGCACCAGGCACACCTTTGGCTAGGAAACCAGCTAGCGAGTTGTCGGCTAACGATATCGCAGCCATGATTCATGAGGTCTGGACCGACGCTTTCCTGATGAATGATTTGGAAGACTTTGTCGAGGAGCAAGAGAACGCCGCGATGAAGAAAGTCATGTTCCAGTTTAGCACGCCGGCTGAAGCTGACAAGCCTCCCACGGCGGCCGATATTGCTGCGGCGATAAATCCGAGACCCGATGTGCGCCCTACACATATTGTCAGAGTTATTCAGCCATTACCAGTAGTGAGAGCGACGTCTTCATCAGAAGATGAAGGCGCAGACTCGTATGAGGAAGACGCTGAAAGCGAGCAAAGTGAAGACTCCGGTAGCCAAAACAGCCAAAACGTCAACAACAATGTCCAACTAATCATGCAGAGTGCAGCGACACTCGCTCCGCCCAGCCACTCAGTGTCGCCTGCACAACGCATTGAGGACGATAATCCCATGGACGTCGACACACCAAAAGACGTAAACCGGCCTGTCGACCCCGCGCTGCAGTCCCTGAGCCCTCCCGTCCTGCCCTACGTACCATTCAGCCGCCCGCCATCCATTTCACCCGAGACTGACACGATGCCAGGACACGCCATGACGCTGCCGGCAAGCCCTGCACCTGCCGCCGTGCTGGACATTCTAGATTTGGAAAGCGCTGATCTGCTGGAGCCAAGTTTCACGAGCTTTCTCGATGCCGCGGCAACGACCGAAGATTGGCTACCGGCGAGCAACACTGCTCATGTTGCTCAGCAGACACACGAGGCCAGCCCATTGCAGACAGTACCGCCACAAAATGAGGGACGGAGCGAGCAGGTATTAGCCATCACCAAGGGCTACAGTCCGAGCCAACAAGATCCGGCGCGATGGAGCCATTTGAGCCCGCTGCACGAGTCTACACGCACATTGCTCGGTACACGGCACAACACTGGGGGCAGGCTGGCGCGAAATCCATTCACGCTGGCCATATCGTATCTGCAGAGGACGTGTCCAGTCAGAGACGTGCTGCATAGTCTTCCTGAGCCCGAATTTGGAAGCCAAAGCGAAGCTTCTGATGCGCAACCCCAAAGGCAGATGGATTCATTAGGCGCTCCGCGTTGTGACGAAAGCAGGCTCGGCGAGGGAGACAAGGAGGCATATATTACCTGTGGCGCCGCTGTACAGCTTTCCGACAGGTGCGTCGACACGCATCATGACCCTAATCATCCGAGCCTGGTGTGCGGCGCCTGTGCTCGGCACAGCGCTGAGATGCTCGTGGACCCCCGACATGATCCCCTCACGACCACTGAAGTGCTGAGTATGCGCAGCTACCTGTGTGAGCGGTGTACAGCTTACGCAGGGAGCAGCCAGGAGGCGATGCTAACCATGTGCGAGGCCGGAATCAACACGGTATTTGGCCGGTTCCCCAAGTCGCAGGATGAAAATGCAGTAGACGACGACGGGGACGTGGTCATGACGGCACCGGATGGCGGCAACGTCGTCTTCTTCGGCAAGGTTCGGCCCTTGACGGGATGTGCGTGCGGCGTCAAAATATTCCAGACGCGGCAATGCCAATTCCATCGCATCGACAATGCCGAGGCTGTGCTGCGTCAGATTGCGGCCGTGCGAGAGTGGCGGGTGCAGACGCTGCAACAAGGGAAATGCGCGGGTTGCTTTGAGCCTCGCTTCAAGACCGACGATGCTTTACAGGAGGATCAACAGCAAGGACAGAACGAAGCTGCTGCCGCTGTGCTGAGCTCTTGGGTGTGCCTCGCCTGCGGAGGGTGGGTGATGAATCAGGAGACGACCGGGCTTGTCGATGGATGGCAATCATGGTTTGACCGACAACCTGCATCGTTTGCCAACATACTGGAAGAAGCTAACGGGATGGATTTCGAAATGACTGACGTATAGGCGTTGTATTTTGCTCCTTGTTGGTCGTGGTATACAGTGGTCTAAAGGCAAGATCAGCAGAATTAATCCCGAGTCGCTTAAGGAAAGCAAGGCTATTGGTCGTCGCAACCTATAAATAAAGCTGCAACCGAAGTCGCGGGGGCAGTTCAACCCGTATGCAGGCGCAAAGCATAACATCATGTTCACTAATCTTGTTAGACCGCAACATCACACGTCAAGTCGCTCGAAAGGAGCAAAGCCCCACGAAACGCTAAGAGTGATAAACCGAGATTTTTGTAAGGTAACGATCAAATTACAACAGCCATTTTGAGAAATATGGATATAATGAACAAGAAACACAATAGTCGACCCACATGGACATTCCGAAAAGAGACAAGAAATCAGAAAATCGGGAGAGAAAGAGAACAACATGTACTGGAGAAAAGGAAATTTGGCGTAAGGGAGCTCGAATCTTGCGTGTAGGGTGTCCGAAGCTGCAGGGCGAGGAAATAGCGTAATATGGCAACTGGCCCAGAGAACTGCCCAGAAACTGCCCTTTGCAGATCATATCCCTCTCCGCTCGCTTGGGACCAGACCAAAAGCTGTGGATGTGTAAACAAGGTCAAACTCGTCGTTCCTTGTCGTTGTAGTTTTTGATGGATCTGGACTGCCCGATGCAAGCCACTGAAGATGCCTGAATGATGCGCTTCTGCAAAACGAAATCAGACAATTTGATCCATGAGCCCTTCCAGCGTGAGAACGAATGTGCCGTGTGGGAGTCAGAATGATGAATGTTTCAAACATCAAAGACACCGGAAATAATAAGAAATAATAAAATGAGGCCAGATTCGTGGCCGAGTAAAGAGTCCGACTCCCCATCCGATGCTAATGAATCGCTGTGTTTGTGGACAAACCACGTATCATTGCCACCAAGCACAGCGGGTCGCGGTTGCTGTGAGCATGTGGCGTTGTTGCAATGTTTCTTTCTTCCCCTTTTCAGTGCCTTCATCGCAAGGCTGTGAGACGTCTCGTTATCGAAGTCGTGTCGTGCGGCGTCCTCACTTCAACTACCGTTCATCGATGCGTCGAACTCCTCACATGATGACACACTTGGCGCAGCAGCCGGCCTCTCTTCCGCCATCGTCAATGTCCATCTGCTTGGCGGGACCATTAAGGCCAGAGCCGCCTCCGCTACCGGTGGAGTAGCCTTGCATTTCGCGGTTGAAGCGGCGGATCTCGCGGACAATGTCGTAGAAGGCTTGGTCGACGTTGATTCTTGACTTGGCCGAGGTTTCGATGAATTTGCAGTTGAACGATCTGGCCAAAGCCTCACCCTCTAAAATTGACGCATGAGCGTGTTAGCGGATGAGGGGGGGCTGATGAAGGACATGAACAAGGACGCAGGGCAAAACTCACCATGTCTGAAAACCTCGCGCTCGCCCTCAAGATCACACTTGTTGCCCACGACAACCATGGGGAAATAGTCCTTGTCCTTGACTCTCAAAATTTGTTGTTGAAATGTGGTAATTTCCTCGAAGCTCTGGCGGGAGGTGATGGAGTAGACGAGCAAGAAACCCTCGCCTGTGCGCATGTATTGCTCTCGCATGGCACTGTACTCTTCTTGGCCAGCGGTATCGAGAACATCGAGAAGAGCAACCTCTTCGTCAATGACACACTGCTTGCGGTAGGAGTCTGAGTAAGAGAAATTGGTCAGCGCGACGGAAAATCCAAGGGCGCGGAGGGCAGGGAGGAGGCATCTGGTGTTACCTTCGATGGTGGGATCGTATTCGTCGACAAAGTGGCTCTGAATCAATTGGATGGTAAGGCAAGATTTACCGACGCCACCGCCACCAACAACGACGAGCTTGTACTCTCGCATAAACTGAAAATAGAGCAAACGTTAGCATCGATAGAAGCGCAACGGCCTGCTCCGGCAAGTGAGACGGCGATGATGATGCAAGGCTGGCGAGACAAGGGGGCAGAACGCAGCGTCGCCGAGAATGGAGCGCAAACACGGCGTATTGGACAAGACGGCACCTTTGTGGATGTAGCCATTGCAGCGACTGCGAGTGCGATGGCGAGAAAGTCGCTTCTCCGGGACAGGAAGGGCTGTTGCGGGTCGCCGAATGATCGTGGGGTTGTCGGTTAGAAATTGACTCGCGGCTTTTAGGGAATCGAAAAGGGTCGATTGTGATGAATGGGATCCGAGAGGGGGATTTCGATTCGGGGCGTCCGAGATTTCAATTCGGGGGAGGGAGGTAGGTGAGGCGACGATGAGACGAGTGCGAAAGAAGAAGGGAAAAAACGAGACAACAGGCGATATGTGATTGAAATGGCGCTGATGGGGAACGGGGGGGGAGTAGAAGGGGGTAAAAAGAGGATAAAACAAGGGGAATGAGAAGGAAAAGTGGTTGTTGAAGGATTGGGACGGAACAATAACGCTAAGCCAGGACAAGTGTAGGGGGGTTCGACTGCGAATGTACCACCACGACCACACCCAGAGAATGCCTAATAGATGGTTTAAAAAGGGAGAGCCAGGTCGTGTACTTTGATGGAAAGACGGTGGAGATTTTAGGCACTTGCGCGCGCTGTAGAGAGGAGGTTACAGAGACCAGAAAAACACTGCACCGAGTTTTTGTGACCTGTTTAGAGGTCTATTCAGGATCAAGATACCTGCTTTGGCAGTTACCTCGGCGCTTTATCAGCGCTGGCCGTAGCCAACGGACAAGTACCTATCAGTGCGAGCAGGTAACTGCCTTGACGACTCGCTAGGGCGCTCCAGCGAGCGGAACCTTGATTATAGCGGCCCTGGCTCCCTGGCCACCTACTATAAATGCCCCGAGATGCCTGGGGACAGAGGGTCTTTATAGTGGTTCGCCCACTAAAGAAAATTAAAATAAATGAAGCTGGTGCAGCAAGCCACCCGCCCGCACCACACCACTTTCAAGTTCCTCTTTTACTCTCGTCCCCTGTGTCAGTGGATATCGCAAAACTAAAACAGTGGATATCAGCGAACCCCCAGCCGCGCAAAGTAAAAGCAAAATGAAGTGAACCGATACAAGGAAGAAGGAAAAAGGTCTGCGGGGGGGGGCTGGTCGTGACTCGTGAGGCGGCCAAGGAGGGGAAGGCGACACCTTGCAAAGGGGCCTTGGCCAACGTATGTAAATACAAACAGGTGCCAATTCCTGATGATGCCGAGGAGCCAGAATTGTTTGCTCCCCCACGTTTAACAGCCTTGTGCTGGTAAATCGTCTTTTGCTCTATCCGTACGGAGAATGAAGTATGGTTACTGCCGCTTGCATCTTCTCACGTCGCTTGTCTCCAATCCACTGGCCCGGCGACAGGGCGTATGTGCATTTCCGCTATGCTTCTTCCCACCCCCTTCTCTGTTTCCCTTTATCCCTCTCGCTCTGTTTCTTGTCACCTCTCTTATTTTGCACGCTTCAGTTAACCCTGCGTCTGTGCATCGCCCGAATAACCCTCCATTCACTCCGTTCCTCCCACGCCCCCTCCCAAACCCGCAAAAGCCCTACTGCATGGTCCATGCCCACCGCCGGCGGGCGGGTGGGGCCGGGCATTGAGCATTGTCCAAGAGGTACCTGCTTCTGCGCCTGGACCTGTGCACCCGCACAATGTACTCTCCAGACAGTCCAGCAACATCACAAGTGAGGGAAGATATGTCCACCAGCATGTGGCCCCTTGGCAACACCAAAGACTGTTTGAATCCTAGGTGCCAGCGCATCAGAAAGATCAATATGAACCGAGAGACTTGGTTCAGAGACAACTTTCCGGGCGGGCATATACCACGTCGCGGTCATGGGAGGGAAGAATAAGACATTATGCAACAGCTGCAGCTCCGTGTATTACGAGACCAGCGTATTGGAGCTCAACGATCGGTGAAACCTACAATCTTGGAGGCAATCGAATATAAGCAAATACCGTGAGCAAAAGCACCCCTCATACAATGCTCGGTAGCTCTTTAGAAATCCGTCACCTTGCCGTTGTAGCTCCAGTCGCCCTCGCTACCCCAGCGCAGCGGCTCGTTCTTAGGCCCGCCGACCTCTCCGGTGCACGGGTTCTTGTCGCCTTCGAACTCGGGCCGGACACCGCGGTACAATCCGCCTCCCTCGTTGAGCTCCGTGTCTGCCGTTGCAGCCGCTTGCGTTGTCGTCTCGGAGGCAGCGTTGGCAGGCTCGGGCTGAAAGGCGGAGGAGACGGTGGCTTCGCGCTGCAGGCGCTCAAACTCGGCCTGCTCCTTGACGGGAAGCTCCGAAGGAGGAGGCGTGGCGGCGGGCGGCGGCGGCGAGGACGGGGATGAAGTGACGGTGGGTGGAGGGGAGAGCAAGGCATCGGCGGCGCGCGCGCGCTGTCGTGAAAGGGAGTCGTGGAAGCATGGTTTGGCTGTTGGTGATGTACAAGTTTCAAGGTTTTGTGGCGACGAGGGTCGGGGCTCGGCATTGGTGATGAATGTTTTAGTGGGGCATCCGCAGGAGGCTGGGCGAACGTGGATGCCTTTGCTGTAGATTGAAGAGAGGAATTTCATACCTTTAGACCTCAATGAATAGTAAATAAACGACAGGACGTGATTATGAAGTGTGATTTTATCGCGAGTGTGATGTCACAGAGTAGAGGTTACGACGCTTGCAAGATGCCATGCCACCAACATATACGCCACAAGTTAAAGACGGGGCATGAAAATAAGATAACAGAAGATGAATAGTAACTAGCTGCTGATGAAGTAGCTGTTGGTTGATTGACTGGCGGTTGATTGACTGGCTGTTGATTCACTGGATGTTGATTAATTGGCTGTTGATCAATCGGCTGTTGATTAACTGGCTGTTGATTAAATGGCAGTCACGGCTCATGAAACTACAGGCGCGCCTTCTGTTCCTTTCGCGAGCTGTAGCTGGCCAACAGGCAACCCATCGTGTAGCGCCAACATAGGCTTGGATTGCTGCAGTGTGCTAGAGATGAATAAGGAAGGAATGCGTCAGGCAGCGAGGTATTTTTGGCGGAATGACCCATACTATCCCCGTCCTGGGGCTCAGAATGAAGAGGATCAGCGGCTGTGGCGTGTTCTTGAACAGCGTTTCTTGGAAACAAGTAGTTTTTTGTTAAGCGGGGAGAGTGACGAGATTCAGATGCTGCCAGACGTGTTAATGCGCACGATTCGTGATAATCGCGATACTTGGACAAGGAGTGCAATTAATTAGAGAAATGGGTCGTTTCTGTTAGCTTTGTCTTTTTTTAGCTTTGTATTTTTCTAGCTTTGTCTTTTACTATATTCTCAATCAGAGCGCCATGTTGTTTTACCCTTTTCCGGATGGGTAAGTCTTGTATGCCAGGCTGGGCGAAGATGTATTTCATCGGACAGGGGTTGATTTTTGCTGGGGAGAGAGTTACCTGGCAGGGATACAATACAAACGCACCACACCCAGTAAATGTTCGATGCCTTGTCAATTTAATTCGGAACCCTATTTATACAGATTATCCGTACATGACAAACTTGCTTATTATACGATGGAGGGTCACGGTCACGAGGCTGTAGGCAGGTATACGCGGGCGAGTCAGCTCATTGGCTGTAATGTGTCAAAAAAGGAACACAGATTGTGGGCAAGCCGAAAACGGAAAAAAAAAAAAAAGAAAAAAGAAAAGCCGTTGCGAGCTAGCGGCAAGACAGGTCCGGGATTGCACGTTGTCCAGTCCATTAGAACGGGGGAAAAAAGTCTCACATAGAGACGCTATGTGGCGGGCCGAGACGAGACGTCTCTTCGAGTACAGATTAGTGGGATCTCTGAGAGTAAGGATTAGAGAGCCTTGATTTCCTTTTTCTATTTCCTCCTTGCTTCTTGATGTAGTCACGCGCGCTCGCTGGCTTACATGACATCAAAAAGAAGCAAACTCGACAGGTTGACGCAGTGCGTCTGTAGAAAAAGAAAACTGTGATGCGGACAGCGGCCAATGGTTTCCACCAATCTAACTAGGGGAAGAATCGCAAAGGGGACAATGATTCTCGGCATGTATTCTGTAAGACAAGAGTGGCGCGTGCAGCTGGTGAAGGGATACTGATAGGCGAGCAGCCGTACGGATTAATCCATCTAGAGTGCTCGTGGTCAAGCGAAGCGCATCTCGCCGAGCCAGAGTCACACTGCTTCTGCTTCTGGTACCGATACAGCACCAGCTTCAACGTAGCCATCTTTTTTTATTAGTCCGTCAACGCCCCTCGTGAGTCGTCAGCCCTGGTTCCCCTATCTCCAGCCAGGGTCGCGCTGCCATGTACATGTTGTCGCACTGGTCAATTATGGCCCGTAGCTCTGAGAAGTCATCCAATTTCGCGCATACTCACGCCCCCCTCTCCCCCCACAGTTGGGTGACGAGGAAGGCCGCAGCAGGCCATCGGGCAACCGGTGCGTGGGCGTGGGTGGTATCCGTATTGTGAGCAGTTTCGGGGGGGTTGCGGAGTAGAATGGATAATTTAGCTCATAGATAAGTGCATTTGATCTAGGATGTATACTTGATTGCTACGCATGAGCCACGTTGCGTCCATGGCGCCCGTTACGAACCGTCATCTATCGCATTATTGAAAAAAGACATACTGGTACATGGCATGATTGATAAGGAACCGACCAAGATGGCTCGCCTTCAATAGCTCCTGGTACTAATGTACAAATATGACGGCGATACAGAAAGAGTCTCGCGGCTGACATCTTCACCGTTGCCGCAGTCCACAACTGCAAGGATCGATGGGATTACTTCTGCAGGCACAGCGCTTGCAGATGCATGGCATCTGGTGTAGGTTTCCACCCTCCATGCATGATGTCAATGCAAAAGAAATCAAGAAATCAAGAAACAAGGCACCACATCCCAGGGGGAGGGGAGTCCACTACTACACGATCTCGGGCAGCGATTCAGCTCAGCCCTTGCCGAAACATGCTAAAATCAATGCCGGAACCTCGATTACGCTTCTAGTCGGAACCCACATTCGTCTTACTGGTCTGTATTAATGAGCTTCGCGAACAAAAACCCGCCTTCGTCTCGTCACAGCAACCGAGTAAAAAACCCACCTGGAATAAACTATCACGGCTTTCCACTTTCCCTTTTGGCCTTCTAGGCCCCCCCCTTCTCCCCTTTGCCCCATCCCACCAGTCCAGGATGTACGAGTGGTCCAATGAGAGCATCAGTTGCCCCAAAGTGCTTCGAGCCCGGAAATTTGATGCAACGCCAGAGAAGAGAGGCGTCCGGGTCGGACTCGCGAGATTTTTATTCTAGAATTTCTCGCTGCGGGTCAGGTCAGGTTCCAAGGATGGGTCGCGAACCCTGGAACTTGGATGTGGCTGGCTCAATTTGCTCGTCCATCTGCTGCCTCCTTCTTTTGCGTAAATCAAGTCAGCATTCACCCCGCGGATGCAGCTCACAGCCAACCTAGGGGCACGACTGCAGCGCACGTTCAGTTGGATGCAACCTAACAATCTCACCCCACGGGGGGAGGGGGACCAGGCATACAAGAGACGACATCTGAACTCACTTCCATGAACCAAGCTACAGAGCTGTACTTCATATTACAAGTATCATATTACAAGTATCCTCCGTGCGCCTCGTATCACGGCAATAAGTACGCAATAACTCTCATATAGTCGGCAAGGCGAGCCTCCCCGCGACCCCGATATTAGGTATCCTCTCTCATACGGATACATTGATTGAGATTTATTACTTGTAAGAAAAAACCAAGGAAATTGTTTCCTGTGGAGATCTCATCGTAGCCAACCGCGCGCCATGGCCATGGTTCGGCCGTCTCTTGCCGTGCAACGACCACTCCCCAGAGTAATTTACGACTCGCCGTGGCCTTCTCCAAACCCTTCCCAGCTTTTTGGCCAGTTTCTCATTAGATAGACGGGTCATTTTGACGGGGCCTGCCTTTGCCTTTGCTTTTTCGAGTACAGAGTATTAAGCCACAGGCTGCAACTCTGCCCAATATGCACGTCAGGTGCCGCAGGTACAGGGACCTGCAGTTGGGAGCGGTCAGAGAGGCAATAGATAGATATGGGGCGGCCCCAGCACGGCGAGCCGACCCGAGGTGCCTGAAGATGGCATGCATAATTCCCGATCATCTATCAGTGTGAAAACAAGAAAAGCACCATCTGGGACGCCGCGACGTGCCTCACCTATCCCGAACGAGCAAAATTGCGGCCTGATTGTGGACGGCGTAGGGTCGCAGTGCGTCATTGACTCACTGGTAAGCTCAGGTACGAGTTCGCGAGATGCATGCTGATACAATGGGTGGCTGAACCGTGCCTCCAGCCAATGGCCTGCTCGCGCGCGAAACTATACAGCAATATGCAAGCCTCCAAGCCTCGTCACACTCATCACGCTCGGCAGTCCATGGCTGCGGGATTGCAGATTGACACGTCTCCAACGTGACGGGAATGAAAGATCCGAGGAAAAGGTAGGTGGCATTCGTCCTCTTTAGGCAATTGGGCCGTTATCTGGTTCGAGTCAAAACTCTAGCTTTCTATACCTTGCTTTCATTCGCTGGTCCGCCTTCGATATCCTCTTGCTTGTATACACGCTTCCCTTCGACATTCTTGACCACCTCATCCACCAGACTCTCCAAAAATGCATAATCTCTAGCTGCAGGTTAATGTGGCTGCACTTTAAGGTAAATGCGCGAAGAATTGGGTACACTTACTTTCCTACCAGGGTCACTGTATTGAATTTTCTGCCCCAATGAGGATAGCTACCTACCTTGACGCCCTTGGGCTCGACGCGGCCTGCAAGATCAGTCAGGTAGCCCGCAACTTTGCTTTCAGAAAACGGCGTCTGAATAATGACTCTGTGGCTTCCCTTGCCTTCGGGATCAACCAGCCGAGACAGTATGTGAGGCTTGATTCCCTCTAGCAATGTCGTAACTGTGCAGGCGGGCCCCTTGTCAGTATGCATGTCTCGCCTCGGCAGTTTTCCTATGCGAGATGGCTTACAGAGACGGGGAATTCCTGGCAGAATATGAACGTTGCCGTTAACCACCGAGATTGGCACCCATAGCTCTTCGCTAGTAAAGAGAAATTGGTCCGTCAAGGGTCGAGACTCGTCCGTAGGCAAGTACACCATGCGCATCTTGGCGCGCAGATCCGGCGAATCCTCGTCCCAATCGAATTTGGGCTGCGAAGGATGTGGCTTGGAGAGAAGCTTCATCCTTTTGAACGCCTCGTCGTGGATCTTGAGCGGTAGATCAAAGGCTTTGGCGATGGCCTGGTAGGTGATGTCATCGTGGCTGGGCTGGTTAGAGCTGATATTGGACATTTCGCGAATGTAATGGGCCTACGTAGGTCCGATACCGCCACTGTTTTCGTATTAGAATTGGATATCCAGGCGGCCATGCGACTTCTTGTAGAACTTGCCTGGTGACGACAAAGTCATAAGTGGTGCTGAGACGGCGGACAGCATCAATGATGTCAGCCTCGTCATCTTCGACGACTTCAATCTTTTTCAATCGCTGCGAAAATTAGCTACCTGCGAGACAATATAACTGCATCCTGACTCGACATACAAGTCCGAGCTGAAAGCACCATTTAGCCATGTACGTCGAGTTTGTCTATCAAGCTGTGAGCGAGGGATATTTGTGTGCGCTACAGGAGCATACATCTACGGTCTGCAGTTTCATCAGTCAATTGATAATCCGTTTCTAGGAAAGAAAAATTATGGAATGCAAGGATCAATCGCACCTTTCCTCCGAGCACCTCATCGCCAATGATGAGGCACGCGGCCGTCTGAATGGTGCGGCGCTGGCGCTCCGCGGCGGAAGCCATGGCTGCAAGACCACCAAGATGAGGTCGCAAACGGGAGGATAATATCGGAGCCGAATGAATTGAGGCCGGAGCTGCTGCAAGGTGTCTGGCGACCTGGGAGATGCGCGAAATCATGAGGCAGTTCCTCAGGGTCACGGTGCGGAGGCAAGGTCAGGCTGTAGCGGCACGGCCAGTCACGGGCGCGCGGGAATCTGAAAGGCGGACGTGTGATGGGCCACACCAATGGTAGAGGTGGACAGTACGTCGCAGAGTCTTTTTCTGCGCCACTGCGACTGGCTCTGGTTTGGGCAAAGGGGCGGAGACGAGATGATGCAAACTAGAGCCGTGATTGCTGCTACCCGTGAGCGCTGGTGGAGCTGCAGCACGTTGGCCAAGGCACAAGATCAGAAGTGGTCCGTGACCGTGGCTGTGGAAAGGGCACAAAGGTTTCTAGTGTGAGTTGATTGAGAGATGCAGGATGGCTGTGCTTGATAGTATCGCGATGTCGAGGCCAGTGGAGATGCGGACGGCAAGTTGGTGTTGTTGCTCGGTAGCCGGCTCAGGCAAACGCATCAAGCTTCATGCACCATTCACATGCTCAGCACACTACACTAGCACATGCCTACAACATCAGCAACTAGAGACAAGTCGTTTGACCCAGAATTTTATCGAGTATGTCTAAGATGCGCTCTCAAAATGCACGACTATGACAAAGTTATAGATCTCTGAATCGGCGGCATTTCTCCGCCGACTTGACGCAACTTTATCATTGTACCGCCACAGCGCCAAGGCCTCCGAATGCAGGCAGTGCATTGACGTTTTGGCGCCAAGGTCCTCTGATAAGAACCGAACAGAAGGTTGGAGAAACGCCATTCAACTTATTGTGAAACTATCTCAATGGATCTCTTGGCGTTGGTCAATGGCATGCATTCTCCAGTTGTGCCGTGGTCAACGTCATGTCCCTCGCACAGTGTAGAGTCGAGAAGCACCACCGAAAAAAACAATCGCCCGAC